TAAAAGTTCCCAATTAGCTCAAAATAAAGCACTGCTTCAAAAAATTAAGTTTCTCGCTCATATATTTTGTAGGCAAAATTGCTAAAGAGGAACTGAATCCGTGGGTAACTGTTGCCATGACGGAGACTGTTTTTGCCGCCAGGTATCTATTTCAGCACCAGGTGCTGTCCAGCTGACAGTGCAGCCCACATCCTGATGTGTGACTGTTTGTGTGAACCAGCCTGCTTCGCTGTGATTGGCAGGAAACAGTCAGAGCTGTGGTACAATCACAGGTTAATGACCGTTAATGACTAATGAGGAGGTCTGGGGCTGGGTTACAGGAGTCAATAACATCACAGAGTTGTTCAGCTCTTCATCTTGTGGAGAACAGCTCCATCAATCAAAACAGGTTGCTATGAACATCCAAACGACAAGTCTGGGCAGAGGAGAGTATACTACCTCACACACTCACACACACACACACTCTTACACACAGAAATACCAATCATGACATGCCAACAGACACATGCTAACAGACACACACTAACAGACACACACTGGAACAAGCAGTGGCTGGATGAGACCTGCAGAAACCTGGCTCCTGTGACATTTAGCTCTGCTGCCAGCTGAAGAAAATGTACATACACACCAGTGTCATAGGTGTAAATCAACAAACAGTTTTAGGGCTCCCTGATAGTTCAGTGGTCAGGGCTCATACCACATGGGTGTAAATGCACAGTGAGTCCTAGTTGGACTCCTGGTGGGCTGGACTACTTGCTGCACGTCTTTCCCAGTCTGTCGTCACTGTCTGTCAAGTAAAGGTTTGTCTGTGTCACCAGAGCAACAACCAGAAAACAAGTCATGTAACATGTTCTGTACAAATACAGTGTGTCATTTTGATCTAACATTATCAAGTTTAATGATGTCAGACTTTTACCTGTAAACAGTTTCCTTCTTCACTAATGAGCAGCTGGAAAAAAGAAACAGTTTGAAGAACAAATGATCATTTAGGCTAACTTGATTTGTCGTCAGAATAAAGTCAATATAGACTGAGTGCAGGCCATAAAAACATATCCTGCTATTATGACTAATAAGTGTCTGCTTTGTTCACTAAAGGAATTCAGTACTAATAATAATCAGTGCAGATGTCATCAACACATGTACTCACTGTTTTCTGTCAGGTTTTGTGTTGTTGTCTTTTATAGTGGTAGTGGAAGTTTTATAGTGGTTTTGTTCCTTGGATTTTCACATATAAACCCTAATTCAGTTTAACACATAACTTTGTTCTTTAATCAAGTTTGATTCTTTAAGTAGTCATATCATTGAATGGCCTGGTGCCCAGTCATGTGATCACTGAGTCTGGTTGTTTTATTTTAATAAGAGAGATGAATGGATTTTGATTTGATTACAAACTTACAGTCTGACCAGTGAAGGTACCCTGCGACAGGTGTACAGCCTCTGCAGGTGAACAGTCTGTACAGGTGAACAGTCTGTACAGGTGAACAGTCTGTACAGGTGTACAGCCTCTGTAGGTGAACAGTCTGTACAGGTGAACAGTCTGTACAGGTGTACAGCCTCTGTAGGGGAACAGTCTGTACAGGTGAACAGTCTGTACAGGTGTACAGCCTCTGCAGGTGTACAGCCTCTACATATGGCATGTGGATTGGTCGGATTTTGACTTCCACGTTAAGATGTCAAATTTGCATGTCTTAAGACGACAGAAAATGCCGTGTTAACAGGCTAATTTGGACATCTTAAGGCGTTTAAATTTGGGGGCTACCACTTCATCAATTTCTGAGGGGAAACCCTACATCATTTCAAGGGAAGAAACGATTCCCCATTCAACCTATGAATTGAGGTTAGGAATATTATATGACATTATTAATAATAATAATGGTTTAATCAGGAGTTTTAACTAATTTTTGCACAAATGGACTGTACCAAATACTGACTCACAGTGGCATGATATGAGGAAAATTTGCGATGTGCGATGACACTGTTCAATACTGGGATGATGATGTGACTTGCGATACATAAACAAATATTGAAGTGTGCATGTACAGTTTTGCTGACAACTGCAACAAAGGTCACTATCGGTCATCCCCTCCGTCCTCCTCCCTCTGCTGCAGGTAACACTGCTGAGGGGGGGGGGCTGCTGTCAGAGTGTATAGTAATAAGTTTACAAAGGTTTGTGGCAAATGAAGCTGCAATCTACACACAGAAAGTTCATCAAGATCCGATGTGTGATTTAAGTGTTCCCTTAATTTTTTTGAGCAGTGTATATTATATAGAGGGTACACCGGTGCACCTTCATTGATAACGGAGGAGGGTCAGAATAATAGAAACACCCGTCAGTAGGATACAGTACAGTTCCGCAGCGGATCTCACTGAGAACACTGCACTACCTGTGATTCCTAGAGTTTCCAACAGTCTTCAGCTATCAGGCTCCTCTCCTGTAGAACCAGCTCCCAGTCTGGGTTCAGGAGGTAGACACCCTCTCTACATTTAAGATCAGGCTTCAAACTGTCCACTGTGATAAAGCTCACTCTCTCTCTCTCTTCTTCATGTCATTTAACCTTGTATTTTCTCTCGTCTGTAGTCTGTGCTTCTCCTCTCTGTTGTTGTTAATAACATCATTAAGCCTATAAGTATCACTGTCATTATTACCATTATAACAACCTCACAGCACACACACACACACACACACACACACACACACACACACACAAACAGCTGTACCAAGGAGAAGGACTGAGCCTTTTAATCCTGGGCAGCCCTGCAGGATGATGCAGAGGACAACCTGTTATGTAACACTCTGAATGCTGCTGCAGCAGAAATGTCCATTACACACTGGCACACACTGCTGCATGCACACTCACAAACACACAATGGCACAAGCAGTAGCCTGGAGGACTGCACAGTGCCATTCATAAATACAACAGCATGTACATGTGTGCTGGACCTAATCAGCCACACACAAACACACACAAATATACAACCCTGTGTCCTACAAAAGATGTTATTCTTTTTTATCATAATTTATATATTTGAAAAGTCACAGACAATGATTATGTATCTAGAAATATCACAGGTTATAGACTTGACCAGTGACCAAAGCATCATTAAACCTTTTATAGTCAGAGCCAATATATAGGCTTCCTGTCTGCACACCTGTACACACATGTACCTGTGTTCACACAAACACTGTCATATGCAGTCATGAGAGAATATTTCCCTGAGACATCGGTTATTATTATTAGCAACACATGACAGATTCAGTCAACCTGGTCCGAAGCTGTAAAACACAAACGCTACGTCATCTTTCCTCGAAATACGGTAATTTTCTGCACAGGGAAGAAGGTGACGCCAAACTCCGTTCAAAAATGTGTCACTTTAATGCTGATGTGTCTGAGATAATATAGTATGATAGAGCAACAAATCCAAACTAGTCTGCGAATTATTAGAGATCAGTCATTCATGATGTAATCATTATAAATCAGTAGTTACTGCGATTAAATCTTTGTTGGTTTTTTTCCCCTTACCACACTACTCCTACCGCATGCAATATAAATCAAAGTTATAATTTACCTAGAAACGTGCGGTGCTTTTGGATCAGGTGTATGCCGAATTACCCAGAAGACTATGTGGACATTTACAGGTGAAGTGTTCGTTTTTAGGAGCTACCTACGTTCCTCAATAGTCGAGCCAACATTACATAGGTACAGTTTAAGTGGAGTTTGGCGTCAGCCTGGTTAACCACTCGTGGAAAATGTATCAGGAGAGCTAAGGCAGCACACACTGTAAAGTCATCCATGCACAACGTTGAAAGAAATATATAACTCTGACTTACCGCCGTTCGTGGTCTGTGTACATTTATCCAGGGCAACCTGCTGCGCGCCACTTTCACCTGGATACACCCCGACCACGGGACGACACCTCCTACACCAGGCTTCTCTACATCCCATCAAAGATGTGTTTTATGTCTGAGGTGCATGGTGATCGGTGTTAACTGCAGTCCTCCAGTTTGATCGGCTGAGTCACGAAGGAGCGTGCGCGCACACACACGCACGCACACCTGAGACACGTGAGACTATGGAAACAGTAATCCTAACCTCTAGCTCTCTGCATGTTGAAGGAAGTGTTGGTTGTCAACAACCCTGACACAGTGTTAATAAGAGATGTTTTATGTTAGTCACTTTCTCTCATTTCAAAATTAGATGCTAAACTTCCAGAGTACCAATTTGTACCGCAGATGAACTTTACCTCACCTGCCTAGTTTTCATCTCTAACACCACCATCTAGTGGCCAAAAGAAGACTGACACCTTACAGTGGTGAAAAAGGTGACGATAAAAACTTCAAGTGATTAATCTAAAACAAAAGAAATGAAGGCTTTTGGAGCATTTTGAGATCTGTCCAGGTGTTCAGAGCCTGCAGACTCAACTATGAAGACTGAAGCTGTATTCGTGATATCATTTCTAATGATAAATAATAATAAACCTAAACACAATAGTGTTGATGTTAGAGTGTCAGAGCTAGTGTCAGGGCGTCAGTCTCGAGGCACACTGATAAAAGTAAAAGTGTAAAACAACAACAAAAACTAAAAGTAAGAAAAAACAGGACACAACAGAATGCAAGTTGCATGTGTATTTTATCTTTCAGATATTCAGTAGAGACGAAATGATCAAATGAGGACTCAACTAAGACTCTTCATCATGGATCAGTGAAGAGCTGCAGAATAAATAATAACAAAATAACAAGAGATACAAACACTAACAAAACAATATGTTTTACTAAGGTGTGAGTACGTGCAGTTCTTCAAAATAAACTTCGGTTTCGCACAGATACATTGACAGAGCAGATTATGGGATGGATGTGTATGAGACTCCTGCTGAGGATAAAGTAAATAAACCTGAAAAGACTTTGTTTTATTTTGAAAGGTATAACCGGAGGCTGGGTGTTTTATTGCCGTTAACGGGACAGCGGAGCAGGACGCCGGAACGCAGCGGGCATCAGCGTCAGTGTCGGAGACAGAGGGAGGTCCGGGACCGTTACAGATCAGAATCCCGTTTCCTCCAGGTTAATCCGGATTTAGAAGGAAACCATGGAAAACGTTACCGCAGCTCGTCTGATGAGGTGAAACTACGAATTTGACCGCTGAGGGTAGAAACCGCACAACACTGCTGCTCTTCTTCATCTCCACCATTTTGGTTGTCAGTGATGGAGCACATCCGGACGCCCAAGGTACCGACACACAGCATCTCAGCGCCGATGACTCGGCTCTTTGTCTTTGTCCTCCTCTGCTGGAGGAGTCAGATGTTTATTACACGACCTAGTGTCTGACCACAAACTGACCAGTATCTGAGCAGTATCTGACCAGTAACTGACCAGTATCTGACCAGTATGAGACCAGCATCAGGCCAGTATATGACCAGTATCAGACCATTATGTGACCAATATTTGACCGCTATGTGACCAGTATGAGACAAGTATGTGAGCAGTAGCAGGGAGCCGTCCTGTGGTGACAGGAGACATGATGCTGGTGTCTCTGTGTTCACCTGCTCAGTAATATAAGTCATCCACCGTGTTCACAGTGACATCACAGTGACATCATAGCCTGTCTGCAGCTGACGTTACGTGTCCGATAATGGACTCAGTAACTGTAGGTCAGTTCCTGCTGCCACAGACGTTTGATTCATGTGGGCCTATCCTCCTCCTCCTGCTCCTCCTCCTCCTCCTCCTCCTCCTCCCTCCTCCTCCTCCTCATCATCATCATCATCATCATCATCAGAGTCTGACTGTGGTTGTAATGGAGCTGAGATGAGTTAGTATGGATTGTACATTATGCAGACATCTGTATACTGATACACACATTACACTAACACATCCCACTTGTACATGTCAGTACATGACGTTTGTGTATGTGTGTGAGTTACCAAAGGAACCAGATTACTTTAATTGAGTGTTTGAGCTGATATTACAGTGTAATGATGTGAGTGTACAGGCGTGCTGTGTCTTTTTAATGTGTGAATTTGTCCGTCTCTGATGTCCGTCCGTGTCAGGTGGAACATGTGCGTCTCCTTGACCGGTCCTCGGGCCAGAGGAAGGCCAGCATTGGGACTCTCTACCTTTCTGCTACACACTCCATCTTTGTCGAGAACAACCCTGAGACACGCAAGGAGACGTGGGTAAGCTGAGACAGGAGGTGGGGCTATGGGAAACTCCTTTAACATCTCGGTAACGTCCGTGATAATATGAACTGTATATCTCTTCATTGTTATCATAATCATGTCTCTGCCTGAGTGGAGGATCAGAAAGCTTCACCTAAAGTTACATCCCTCATGTCCCACCTAAAGTGTGACTGACAGGCTGATCATATGTCTCTCCTTCATCCACCACCGGGAAACAGATGATCTGCTCTGATTTCACTGTGGAGAGCAGAGGCAGTAGAGAGAAAAGAGTGCTGCAGCAACTGTAGGGGGATGTAGCGTGGACACACCTGTGTTTGTGAGGCTGCAGACAGATTGTTACCAGTTGCTTGAGATAGACATGAAAAATGATCTGCAGAGGAGGTTTAGTGTGACAGTTAAAAGCACTGGACAGTGACACTCAGGCTTCATCGTTAGCTACAGAAACAATAACAGCTGACCTGTTCAGATTCATTCTCTAAGGCTGGATGAAGAACTCAGTGCAGCTCAGATTCAAACTCACCAAATGTTTGTTTATTACGCAAGTTTAAACAAACAGGAAGTTCAAGTAGTGCAGCTACAACATGTCAGTCTGTAGCTCCTCCTCCTCCTCCTCCTCTTCCTCTGTGTTATGTCAAGAACTGTGAGTTGGACAATCAGATCTCCTGCAGGAGGCAGAATAGGAGTCTGACCTGTCCCTCTGGACTGGACTAAATAATGAAGGCATCCAGGGAGGTCAGATTTCACCCGACAGGCACCAACTGTGTAAACTTACAGGAATAAAGAAGACAGGTTTCAGTTAGCTGCTGTAAAATAACAGCAGATGTCTGCTTCTTCCTCTTCTTACTCCTCCTCTTCCTCACCACATGGCTTTTACTTCCTGTGAGAAAAGGCCAGAAGCTTAAAGTGATGTTGACACTTTTCTGGAATGTCAGATCACAGTGATGTGGTGTGAGTTAGTTTTTATATAATGCTGACTGATATTAGAGTCAGAAGGATCTGAACAGTGTGTGTGTGTGTGTGTGTGTGTGTGTGTTCCAGGTGTTGCACAGCATGGTGAGCAGTGTGGAGAGGCCGGCCAGCAGTCCTGCGGGGAGCCAACTGATCCTGCGCTGTAAGGACTTCCGGGTCTTCTATATCCTGGTCCCTCAGGAAAGAGACTGTGTGGACGTCCATGCTTCACTGGTCAGGTTGTCACGACCAGGTGTGTTTGTGTGTTTGTGTAAGTGGGTTGTTGTGTCATGAACAGGTGTGTTACTTTTAAACTTGTTAAGATGATTTACAATGATTCTCTCCTCTTTCTTCTTCCTCCTCCTCTTCCTCCTCCTCCTCTCCTCGCTCCTCCTCTCCTCTCTCCTCCTTCCTCCTCCTCTCCTCTCTCCTCCTCTCTCTTCTCCTCCTAATCTTCCTGTCCTCTCCTCCACTGTCCTCTCTCCTCTCCTCCTCTCTCCTCCTCTTCTCAGAGAAGTACATTGAGCTGTACTGCCTCTCCTTCAATCCCAATGTGAACAAAGAGGAGAGGGAGGAGTCATGGAACTTCATCGACCTTGTGTCAGACTACAAGAGGATGGGAGTTCCTAACAACCTGTGGGTGACAACAGCAGCCAACAGTGAATACAGGGTCAGTCTTTGTTTTAAGAGAACAAGAGAACTTCTACTAGTCATTACTGTACACACTGTCTGCTCTGCAGTTGTCTGCCTTGTACCAAGGACATTTATAGGGTCATAGATAAGATAGGTCCTTATCTGGAGGAACCTCCTCTAGTGGAGCAAACAGCAGCATGTCCACTGATAAATACTGAGCCTGTAGCGGAGGGCTACAAACCTGTACTGTATGTATGGCAGCACGCTTAAGCTACCTAAACCCAACTGCACAATTAAGCTAATAAAGGTAGGCCGCTAGCCACTACCGCAGGCGTCCCACTATGGACATGAAGATACTGTGGACACTCACTAAATGACTGGGAAGAGCAAAGGGATAACGAAAATAAACAGTGTAGATTTATTACAACACTAAATAAACAGACATAAACACACTCAGAGTAAACAGAGTAAAACACTAGATTTACATATGTTAAATCACTGAACTATTTCCCACACTAATGGTACCAAGTTGCCCGGGGTTGGAGCTCACGTGGAGATAACGTCCCAGATGATGGAGAAGGAAAGGGGGGGGGGGAGGCAGGCGACGAGGGGGGGTTATCAGCTGCAGAGTCATGGGTATCCACGTTGTTGGGAACGTGGTTGACGAAGCAAAACTAGCCGCGCTGGCTAGCAACTCCCAGCCGACGCAGTCGGCGAAATCCCTCAGGTAGAGTCTCACATTGGCATAAAGGTCCGTTAGGCTACCAAACCTAAGAGCTAAGAGAGCTAGGAGCTAAGTGTGGCTACTTTAGCCGAAGCAGTCTCTTTCTTTTCCTTTTTCTCAAACTTGCACGCACGCACACACACACACACACACACACACACACACACACACACACACACACACACACACACACACACACACACACACACACACACACACAGGATCGCGCACCAATCAGGACGCAGTGCGCCGACAGACTACAGCAGCACCACCAGAACCACAAACAACATGCGCACACTCAACATGTCCCGCATTAACCAAACTATACAGAACAGTTTTAATAATGAATAGAAAATAATAAACTGAAGCAAATCGAATAGGAAAAAAGGGAACTTAACAGGGCAGCGGCAAGGGGAAAATATATATTACTCAAAATGAGCTTAATTGAACTAAATATATACAATAGACTCTGAGGCTTCAGTACAGAGCCATTTAAACTGCTTTAATTACTGAGGTATTTAAATTACTTTAAATACTGAGGCAATTAAACTACTTTACTTAAATTCTAAGGCATTTAAAATACTTAAAATACTTAAACACTGAGCTATTTAAACAACTTTAAATATTTCAATTCTGAGGTATTTAAACTACTTTAGATACTTAAATACTGGGGTATTTAAAAAACTTTAAATACTTAAATACTGAGGTATGTAACTACTTTAAATACTTAGATACTGAGGTATGTAACTACTTTAAATGTTGTTGTTTGATCAGTTAACCACTTGAATTATGATTAATTGCAGATTTTGAAGGATGTAATATGAAATCTACATTTGTGTTGTTCCTTCCTGTCATTATTAGTTCCATTAGGTTTAAAGGCTGTTTCATTTAATGTTTTATGGTCATGGTGGAAAACGGTTGTGTGAGTTTATAGGTAAGATCTAGATTAAATAATTCAGAAGTACCATGGAAAATACTTCTCTTCTCCAAAGTTGAAACAAAGGAGAAGATGGGCCACGCCCCGGAAACGTGCGCCAGCCCCAAGGGGATAAAACAGTTGTGATGATTTCACACATTGTTCTTAGTTATTGACTGTTAGCAACCGGCTCTTAGCAACCGCTCTTACTCATTGCTTTTTGCCATTTAGCACTTATTTGTTTTGTCCGCCTTCTTTGTTCTTTCTGTGCCACATGCTCCAAGCAACTTTTTCTTTGTCTACATGCGCGACCTTTTATTTTTATAAGCCAAGTCAAAACCAACTCAACCAAAACAGCCTAAACAGAGTAATTTTTGTAACTTGTAATTACTATCATGTTTTTCTTTTTGAAGATTTTTGACAGTTTAGACTAATCTGGCCAACGCCAGTCTCCTCTAAAGTTATCCAGCAAAGATTAGAGTTTATTTCGCATCAACCAGGCAGATAACACGACCTGCCCGCGACCGCCTGCAGAGAAGCCTACAAGAAATCAAGAGTGCCCGTGACAGAAAGTCTCCTAGCAAACTCCACCAGAGATGAATCGCTGAGACACCGGCAGAATCTGTCATCGTGATAACGGGACACGGCCTACAGGAAAATCCACCTAGATCCCGCGTCGCCAGGGTTACCACGGCAACCACAGCCACCTGGGTTCCAGCCAAGGGGCCTCAGCTACAGCGCAACTCACAGTAGGCCGGTCTTAACACTCTGCTCATGACTGGGTTGATGTCGAAATATAGTAATATTTAACCATCAAATCTCATTCGTAGACCTAGACCTATCATTATCTGTATAGCCATAGCCATAACATATTCTCTCCCATCATTGCCACTAAGTTCATTCCATTATTATTTTCATCTTTATGATTATTACACATTGCATTTACTCTGTAGATAATAGTTTAGTTAATAAACTTTATTTACACCCAGCTGTTGTCCTGTTGTGTTCTTTTGAAGTAGAGACTGGAGATCCATTGAATCGAGAAGTCACGGCTTCTGATATGAGATTGATCACTAAATTGTGGTGTTCACGCTACATTTTTGGTGTCGAGCGTGAGGCCAATTTTTAATATCACCGTCTTTACTGCAAAAGAACGTTTGATTTAGCTGCATATTGGCTTGGCTGCCTGTTGCTTGTTGTGCGTGAGCACTTAATGGTTAAACCTGCAGCCTTGTCTGTAAATTCATGATTTAAGCGTAGCTTTCAGATTGTTAAGTTGTATTTATAAAGACATGGATGCACGATAATTATAAATATTTTTGAAGCGGGTTACTGCGCCGACACTAACTCCCCCAAACTGGTGGTGGCTGTAGTGTAGCTGTAAGCAACTCCGCTAAAAACACTGTTCAAAGTGTTGAGGCTACAGCCCATTAGCTTTAAGCTATTTGTCAGAAATTACATGCAACAGCGTGATGAAACGCCCATAGAGACGGTCTGTTGGCTGGTACAGGCTATTGCGTGTCCCAATAGTTGTTGACCCGCCCTGAGTGTGGCTAGATTTGTCCGCATATGTTGGTGAATTTAGACCGCCTCAGACCCTTTGTGCTAACCTGTCAGATTAGCTACCTGACCCATTAGCAGCTGTAGCTGGCGTGGCCGTTACCGTAAAGAAGTTGTTTCTGCCCCATGTGATCAGACACACAGCGCTTGTGTCCTGAAAAGAGTGAAAATACCTGTGTTGTTGAACAAAGTGCTTGAACTGCTTGTTTGGAGTCCTTAAGCAGATCGGTGTTGAAAAATAGCTGTTTTTGAACGTCACTTTGCTTTTGTAAATACCCTGCGGTTTGAGTAGAATGCAATAAAATTGTGTTTGTTTGCTGTCAAGTCCCAGAGGACTTGTGTTGAAAAATTGCGGTTACTAAAGGTAATTGTTGCTTGGTGAACACCCCTGTGGTATAAAATGTGAAAGGAAAAATAGTGCTTGCTTACTTGAAGTCCCAGGAAGGACTTGTGTTAAAAACATTCTGATTACTGAACGTAACTCCAACCCGGTGAATACTCATACAGTCCAAATTGTGAATGAAAAGTGCTAGTGCTTTACTGAACGTGTCAGACTGGACTTGCATTGAAAATGCCGAGAACTTACTCAAAATAACATCCACTCGCTAAGCGTGCTTGAGGCCGCTGCCCCTCGCCGTCTATTGTTTGAGAGGCTATTTGCCTTAGCAAAGAAGTTTCTCTGTCTGCGCTCTGAGTGAAATGAAACGCTTTCTACCTGCCTAACGCAGGTCTATCAGTGGGCGGTACTAAGGGGCTATTACTGACGACACCTCACCTCCCTCTCCTTGTAAAACAAGCTGATAGAAATTTGGCGTCATCTGGTGGTGGATTTGGTTAACTGAGTTCGAGGATTGAATTATTCAAACAATGAATGTGTGCATGCAACAGATTGAGATCTAATGCTGTCAACTTCGTCAATTCATAATTTGCTATGTCAAAATCTTTCTGCTAATTACACTATTGAATTAATAAGTGTTGTGCTTAAAAGTTATCAATTCTACAGTTGAAGTGATTAATCTAACACACTTGTAGTTGTTAAACCTAAGGTTCTCATTTATTTAAAGCCAAATTGCTTTAAGACTGCTTGTGGCTCTATGAATGTAGTAGGCTAACACTAGTAACAGCATTAAGGAAAACTATTTTAGACAAATAGTTACAATTGTTGTTTCCCCCCCTTCAGTGTAAATCCCTGTAGCCTACTAACTCCCCATTTTGACTCGTTATCAAATTCTTATCAAATGTCAAATGTATTTGAATTTGAAATTTCACATGTACCCTTATGTCTCTTCACACTATCGTATTAGAGGTGGGTGATATAGCAAATATACTCAACACTTGTTCCACGTAGGATGTATAAAATGACAATATTGCGAACATCGAGTATAAATTGTCACATAATTGTTTTAAAACGCCAGCATGAAGTTCTCTTTGGTGTTTCTCTCCTCCGTTTTATCAGTCAGTGGTGGCCAGTGTATTCTTTTATGCTGCAGTCTTCTGGGGCAGCAACTTGTCCCACATGAACAAAAAGAGAATGGACAAGCTGGTCAAAAAGGTAGTTATATTATATATATATTATAGTTATATATTTTTTATGTCTGTTACATTCATATAAAGTCCAGACATTTAAACTATAGGCTAGTGAAAGGTGTCAGTTATTTATAATGTTGCTGGTATCATATCAGTATGACTATCAACAAATGTTTCCCTGTCTATTTTTGCTGGGAACCACTCGTCATGAGTGAAAAACAGACGAGATGCTGAATCTCTAGATCACACAAAACAGCAGCAAAGCATGAGAGTGTGTCTCTTTATGCATCAAAGGGTTAAATCATGTATGTATGAAGTTCTATAGAGTAGATTTCAAATTATTGCAATATTGTGATATATATCGTGTATATTGCCTCCCTGGGATTTGCAAAACAAATACAGTCGCATGCTAAGCAGGCAGAGCCCACTACCATTCGAAGCCTCAGTACAAAATCCTTGCCCATGGAGCTGGAAGGGGCTCCTGGCGGTGAACTGCATGGCTCAGCCACACACCCTTCCAGAAGTTATTGGCCTACTAAATGGCAAAAACATTTTCTGCCTGAAACAACTTATAGGGACCATAAGTCTTCCAGACCACATTGGCCTGACAAAGTCAAACTTTTACACCTCAGATCCCCGCCGAAGTAGGTTCCCACCTAACCAATGGGAAAACTGTAAGGCTTGTGAGTATAAGTGAGTATAAGGGACAGAAAAGGTGAAACCAAACTCCATTCCATCAGCATCAATCTGATGAGAACATGAACAAAGACAAAAGCAAATGATCCTTTCAGCAGGAAAACCAACAAAGCTAGAAGTAAGACTAAAACATCTGAGCCAAGAAGACCTAGAAACTATCAAGCATCTTTTGAGTGACTGGCTTAAGGAGGAAAGCAAAAAGCTGATCTCGTCCCAGTCACATTGGTAGCACCAAAAACTACAGCTCAACACAGTCACTCAAACCAGCCAACCGGGGTGGTTGAAGAACTTCACTAAGGCCACAGTGGACAAGGGTCTGCTCTGCCCCAAAGCCAGACCTCAAATCCAAAATATATCAGAACAGCGGGGTGAGAAGTCAATCTCTCCCAATGCAGTCTCAGTGGCAAAACTGGACTTAAAAGACAAGTCCTCTAACAAGGTCATGTCAGCTGTTCAACTTGGACCACCCTTCCAACAGTTCCTTTTAATGACAAAGGTGTTATGCGAACACCACACCTGTACATAACAGTTGAAGAAGCACTTGTACACAACTCACTCCTTAACATGGCAGCAGATGTCACCTTGATGTCATCAGCACTATTCAGTAAGCTGCGCACGTTAATGTACCGATCAAAGAAGGACTTGAAACTCCAAACCTGTTCCCAAGAGGTGCAACTGTATGCCCCCACCAGTGCCACAATGCCAATTCAAGCCCACATCTCACTATGTGCAGGCCACATAAACACCAAAATGACCTCGGACCTTGCCCAGAAACATCTGGGCAATAGCAAAGACCTATTATGACCAAAAAGCTTCCAATGACAAACTCCAAGTGGGGGACACATGACTGTACCACGCTCTCACTCAAACAACTAGAACAGCCAGTTCACGCATGGGAAGACTTACCTGTGAATCTCTTCCCCAGTGCTCAAGTCCCTACATGTTCTTAGACAAACTCTTTCCACAACAAGGCTTGGAAAACTCAGAAAGGGCCAACTTCCAAATAGCTCAACCGCACACAGTGCAAACCACATGAAACCCCCATGGATCTCATCGGAGGCAATCTTGTCCCAACCAGGTCATAAATAATAAACATCTGTAAGCACCCAAGGGGCCAATTAACAGTAGTTGAGTCGTGACAACTGTTCTCACTACACATATTGTGACAGGAAATAAATTACAGTGTACATTTGAAACACCCTAAGGTTCCAGGTATGAGTGTAAATGGTTAATTTTTAGTATTGGTTGTGTTGATAGAAGTCACAGAGCACCTAAGAGCCAGGTATCATGTCTTCAGTCAAATCCACCTTTCACAATCCTCCCTACCATTTGAACATACCGCGTTTCATGACCATGCTTGACGACCGTGTTAGCGTAAATTGTGTACAAGTGGGGGTGATTCAACAGGTCACAGATACATTTATAAGACCCCGGTCAAGACCACAGGTGTAGTGGACACACTGCTATGCTGGTATCGATACTTTAGGTTATCTATATCTATGCTTGCACTCAACTGGTAACCATGCTAATGCCTGCTATGCTTTGGGATACTGGTCCCTCAATTGTCAGCCTAGCCTTTGTAACATTTGACATGTGTACCTAGACATACCTTGGCCTTCTTTCCCTGTGCAAGACACCTTAGTCAGTATGACAGCAGACTGAGTTGGTGTAAATAATGTAATAAATGCTAGATAACCCTGTAACCCTGTATGAATAGTTTACCCCCGAGTAGACTGGGTCCAATTAGTTATAGCAATATGGAAACCTTTAGAGGTTTCCATTTTTTTTCTTTTTTTTGGGTAATTTTTTGTTTATTTCCAATAGTTAAACATAGGCCCTGCTTGTTTAACTAGTAGCATACCTGCCGATATCAAAGGTAACTCTTATTTAGCCTTGCTGAGAAAAGCTACCCAGTTCTGTTTTTAAAAGACATCAACTCTGATCATGGTAGCTGTTGCTATGCTCCATGTTCCTTATGCCACTGATGTCCTCAATTCAGCAGTCCAATGCTCCCTGGATTGCAACCATTGAACTGCATGGGGGATATGTAGCAGACATACCAGGTCTGGCATCAGTCACAAGTCATTAAAAAAGTTAACTTTAAGGACATGCAGAGTTATGGACCCAAAATTGACCCTTTCCTACTGTTCCCACCATCAGACTATCAAATTGATAGGAAACAGAGACAAAGGACCCTTCTCTCACAAACAGACGCGCTGCTAGCATGTCAGAGAGATGCTCAAGAAGAATATTAAACGATATATCTAACTATTCTGTAACCTATGTGATGTTTCTATGTAATGTCAATTCCCAGTCTATCCTCTAGAATGGCTGAAATATAACATATAGGTTTCAAGACAATATCTTTCATGTGACCATACTGTCAGCATCTTTCACACAACAGACATCACAGACACCCACAATGTCTTTATTATTATCAATATAGTCAAAGAACTGATGTGTAATAGTATATAGTAGTCATTGCTTTTTTCGCCTTTTCGCACTTAATTGTTTTGTCCGCCTTCTTTGTTCTTTCTGTGCCACGTGCTCCAAATAACTTTTTCTTTGTCTACACGTGCAATCTTTTGTTTTTATAAGCCAAGTCAAAACCAACTGAACCAAAACAGCAGAAGTGCCTCAGAGTAATTTTTGTCACTTGTAATTACTATCACGTTTCCTTTTTTTTTAAGATTTTTGACAGTTTAGAGTAATCTGGCCAACGCCAGTCTCCTCTAAAGTTATCCAGCCCTAGTTAAGTGCATTAAAGTTTATTTCGCATAAACCCGCAAGAGCAGCAGACAAATAACACAACCTGCCAACGACCGCCTGCAGAGAAGCCTAGAAGAAATCAAGAGTGCCTGAGACAGAACCGCTGAGATCCCCCGTCTTCAGAGTTACCACGGCAACCTCAGCTACCTGGGTTCCAGTCAAGGGGTCCCCAGCATAGCACAACTCACAGTAGGCCGATCTTAACTTTCTGCTCATGTATAGCAGAAATATAGCAATATTTAGTCATCAAAATACCTAGACCTACCATTAGCTGTATAGCCATAGTGTATAGCCATAACATATTCTCTCCCACCATTGCCAACTCATCACACTGCTCATTTCATTATTATTTTCATCATTATGATTATTGTACATTGCATTTACTCTGTAGATAGTAGTCTAGTTAATAAACTTCTTTATTTACACTCAGTCGTTGTCCTGTTGTGTTCTTTTGAAGTAGAGACTGGAGATCCATTGAATCGAGAAGTCACAGCTTCTGATATGAGATTGATCACATTACTCAATGAAGTAATTCAATGTCCTCCCTCAGGACCAGTGCCCCCTTTCAATGAGAGCACATTCTAAATTGTGGTGTTAACATAACAGCAGTCATGCTCCTTAAAGACTACTACAGCTGACATCACAACAACATCACATCTTAGTAAACTATAAAATGAAGTCTGAGGGGAAGTTATTTAATGTTACCAAACACACAAATGTGACACCTGTACCTGTTTGCTAACTAACCAGTTGGGGTTAGCTTTCACAAACATTAGCTAATGAGACAAAATGATGCTGATGTTAGAACCTGTCAAACAGAAATGGAACAACCTTTACATCTGTCGTCATGCCTTTCAACTCTTGGAGGTCTCTCCACGACAGTCGGACTGGTCATATGGACTACCAGGACAAATCCCTGTGGACCACCACAGCAGTGTTCCACTTGGCTGTCAAAACATCCATAAAGTTTTGTGCAGTGGTGCAGGCTGGTCCTAGGATGAGTCCAGATCTGAATTTGTCTCCCAGTCTCACACACACCGTCCTGCTGCAGCAGATACTCGCTACAGCTCCAAATGTGGATTAATCTGCTGCTGAAAATAGTTCTCAACAAATGTGTTAATTTACTCCTGTTTAAGTGATATTTGAAGACGACAATGCTCATCTATTTCAGGTTCTCATCATCTGTATAATAATGTCCCCCCTCCCTCCCCCCTCAGGTGTGTGACACCTACCCCTCAGAGCTGTTTGTTCCAAAGTCGGCCACACCCACTATCATCGATGGCAGCTCAAGGTTCAGGAGTCGAAGACGATTTCCTGCTCTGTCCTACTTCCACCAGGACACACTGGTCAGTGACACATACACACACACACACACACACACACACACACACAGATTACAATGATGATGATGATGATGATGATGCTTTATGGCTCTATAGGCTGCAGTGTGCCGGTGTAGCCAACCTCTGTCAGGATTCAGTGGACGCTGTCAGGAGGATGAGATGATGCTTCAGGCTGTGATGAAGTCCAACCCTGGCAGTGACTACATTTATGTGGTGGACACCAGGCCCAAGGTAACACACACACACACACACACACACACACACACACACACAGAGACCAATACAGCCACAGTAAAAAACACTAACGCACTATGAGCAACAATATTCACATATACGGCACTGTGTGTGTGTGTGTCTGTGTGTGTGCATGTGTGTGTGTGTGTGTGTGTGTGTGTGTGCGCGCGCGTGTGTGTGTTTCCAGCTGAACGCTGTGGCCAACCGAGCGGCAGGTAAAGGCTACGAGAACGAGGACCACTACACCAACATCAAGCTGCAGTTCATCGGCATCGAGAACATCCATGTGATGAGGAGCAGCCAGCAGAAGATCATTGATGGTGAGGAGGGTGTGTGTGTGTATGTGTGTGTGTGTGTGTGTGTGTGCGTGCGTATGTGTGCGTAAGTGTAGAGGTTCTGTAGTTACTTCAGAGAGCTGCTGTTAGTAAACACACAGTTTTCCTCTGACTGTACGTCTTCCTGTCTTCCTCCTACAGTGGGTGAGATGCGGTCTCCCTCCATGACGGACTTCCTGTGGGGTCTGGAGAACTCTGGTTGGCTCAAACACATTAAAGCCATACTGGATGCTGGAGTCTTCATAGCCAGGGTGTGTATACACACACACTCACGCACACACACACACACACACACACACACACACACACACACATACAATATTGCAACTATCTGATTGGTTATAATAATTGAATCCATGTAAAAACTGAATCTTCAGACTCATGGATCGTGAATTTCACCATGTTACTGTATCTGCAGTGACACGCACCCACCTCACCTGTGTGTTTACACCTGTGCCCTGACCCTCTCTCTCTCCAGGCCGTGGCTGATGAAGGAGTTAGTGTCCTGGTCCACTGCTCAGACGGCTGGGACAGGACCGCCCAGGCCTGCTCTGTGGCCAGTATACTGCTGGACCCCCACTACAGGACCATCACAGGACTGATGGTAACACGCACACACACACACACTCACACACAGAGACACATGCTCTTTACTCATCCTTTTCACTCCTCTTCTTCATTCCTCACTCCTCACTCCTTCTTATTCCTCCTCTTCACTCCTTTTTACCCCTCCTCTTCACTCCTCACTCCTCCTCCTCATTCCTCTTCCTAATTCCTCCTCTTCACTCCTCTTCTTCGCTCCTCTTCTTCACTCCTCACTTCTCCTCTTCACACCTCCTCTTCCTCCTCTCTTGTAGGTGCTGATAGAGAGAGACTGGGTTTCCTTTGGACACAAGTTTTCCCACAGGTCAGTAACTGTATTTTATTTTGACAGGTCAACACACTTGATTTCATGATGTCAGACAGTGACGTGTCCTTTCAGGGTAAGAGCATGAGATTTATGTGACCTCTGCAGGTTGTATTTAGAGAGTCAGTGGTTTATGTGACACAGACTGTCCTGTAGGTCAACAGCAGAGACACAGAGGACACAGGAGCAGACAGAGTGACTGTTCCTCTTATTTAAAGCTGGAGCAGGCCGCTCTCCTGCAGCTCTCTCCTCAGATACACACTTCATACACACATTTAAATCTACATACAACACACTCAGATACTACAGGAACATGAAGGTAGCAGCCTGTTATCTGTCCAGGTGAAGAACGCATGTCCATCTGAAGGGACATGCACACACATCAGCCAATAGGAACACACTCTCTCTGGAAACACCTGTGATTGGCAAAAGTCTCCCTTCACATGTAACATGAGGAGCAGCTGCACAGAGAACAAACTGAGAGGGATGATGATGATGATGATGATGATGATGATGATGATGATGATGATGATGATGATGATGATGATAGAGTCAGACTCTGCAGGACCTGGTAAAGGTGACACAACATGAACTGTGAGGGCCAGTCACTGATAAAGACAGGGTAGTAAAACATATGAGGGTGAAATGATATGTAGAAAATGACCTGTAGCCTTCTGCAGCAGAAATGCCTGTTTTATTTACACCCATCCGCCTTTACATTAAAAGCCAATAACGGACAGAGTGGAAGACTTGTAATGTGAAAAACCTGCGTCCTGAGTTTTAAACAGGTGAACCTGTGTGAAGAGTGTGTGTTACCTGGGAAGCAGGTGAAGTCAGGATTCACTTCTGTCTATGAAAAGTACTCTATTGGACAATATACAGTCATAACAAAAACAAACAAACACATGTCAGACTTTCTTCTGATCCAGTAGCCGAACAATATTTAATCCAAAACAGCTCCCTCCTCTGAAGTCAGTGTGTTATTGTTTGTGTTCTTTGACTTCAGTTACGGTGAATTCACTTTGTTGTGTTGTAGGTTTCATTTAAGTAGATCATCAGTCTTCACTCAGTGATCTATAAAAAGTGAAAACATGTTTTAGAAAGTTTTGCTAAATTATTACAAAATCAAAATCAAAATCTCTGATTAATTAAAGTCTTGAGACTCTTCACTATAGCTCCAAACTGTGATCGCATACTTCCTGTTTACTCTTGGTAATTATCACTGAGATGAGTCTAGACCTTAGGTCTGTACTATGAAGCGAGTTCAACATACCCAGGATAGCTTTAAGTTATCTGGGTTAACTGAACCTAACATTGGCCGTCCTGGATAATCTGTACTACAAAACTGGTTATCAACTGGCTCAGTTAACCCTGTTCAACAAGGTGAAATGTAGGTGAAACAGTGTGTGGATCATTGTTGGTTTAGTTTTTATTTCCAGTTGTGGTCTCAGAGTCTCCTCATGTTATTCTGAGCTGCAGTGATGAAGAAGACAGTGAAAGCATCGACACTGTCAGAAATCCTGGCAGATTAAAATATATTTGTTCAATTAAAATGAAGCTAAAATAGTTTTTTATAGTAGTATTTTTATCATTCCTTTAGAAGCTTTGTTTTAAAACCAGTCGTTATTATTTATCACTTTATTTTAAACTCTTTTGTCCCTGTCAGGATCCTGTAGGAATTATGACTCGGTTTTTCCAGTGATTTGATTGGTCAGAAGTTTGGCTGTTGAAAGGTTTTGATCTGATCCTCTGAAGTTAACCTGCGCCAGAGCAGGTTAGGAGTTCAGCATAAGTTACTATGCTGATTTAGGCCTACCCCAGTAACAAGTGAACCACCGTGGTAGGGCTGAAAACCCAGAGTTAAACCTGAAGTTACCTCCATGACCTCAAATCCTGCTTCAGAGTACAGGCCTTCATCCACTTATTTATGATATAGTAATTACAACAGAATTGGACTAAAGGTCTGAAGAGTTTATTCAATAAGAGATTTTAGTTTTTGATTTTGAATACATTTGCAAATCTAAAAACATGTTTTCACTTTGGCTTCATGAGAGTAGACATTGATAAATTATAAACATTAAATATTTCATTACTCATGTCATGACATCATGCTCTTCTGTGGAAGTGTGAAGATCTTCATCTGTTTAGGTAGAAAGGTTCTATATTAATGCAGCCATTTCACTTTCATTATACATAAACAGTATATTAATATAAGTCATGGGAAAGTGGTCTAAGACCTTTGGACCCCACTGTTTATTAATATCTGAACAATTCTTGTTTTTTTTTAACATGTTAACATAGTGAATGTTTTGTGAGTGTGTGTGGGGATGGACAGTAAAGAGAGAGATCTTTCCCTGTAGGTGCGCCCACCTGGATGGAGATCCTAAGGAGGTGTCCCCCGTTATTGATCAGTTCCTGGAGTGTGTGTGGCAGCTGTCAGAACAGTTCCCATGCGCCTTTGAGTTCAATGAGCGCTTCCTCATCGCCATACACACACACGCCTACTCCTGTCAGTATGGGACCTTCCTGGGCAACTGCCAGAGGGAACGCAGGGACATGAGGTAAGAAGGTCGTTAACACAGCTATAATCAGTGTTTTACAGTAACAATCTGAAAACACTGTGACAGTGATGAACCTAAAGAGAGTAATTAGCTGAATCTGCTGCTCTTCAACATGACAGCTAACCGTTCGTTAGCATACTGTCTGCTCAACATGAGACCTTACAGTTAGCATACTGTCTGTTCAACATTACAGCTAACAGTTAGCATACTGTCTGGTGCTGTGTCTCAATTCTCGTACTTCCATACTCACACTTGTTATTTTGAGTGCATAAGTGCATTCACATCATAGACTGTAAATAAAGATGCCTCTGTGACACCCAGAGGTTTCTGAAGAGCGGTTTTGAAGCTCAGAGTGGGCCGTATGCTGCCACCATCTTGCCAGTACCTGACTCTGCCAAACTCCTGGCTAATACAAAAATATGCAAAAAAGAGGGGCGCGTACACAGTGTACTACATGTGAGTATACTGAGTACACAGTTTACTACTTGTGAGTATACTGAGTACACAGTATGCTGTGAGTATACTGAGTACACAGTGTTCTGTGAGTATACTGAGTACACAGTGTGCTGTATTAGAGTATACAGTGTACTACATGTGAGTGTACTGACTGAAGTATCTGATGTGAGACACAGCAAGGTTCAGTTAGAGAGAGCTGCCTATGACTCATAGCCTAGCAACAGCCTTGACAACGACACACTGATTGATTGATGCACATTCAGACCAATCAGTCTTGAATTCAGACACATGGTACATCGTTTGTTTTTATATTGTGTTTGGTGATAGTGAGTGAACATGATGTCTATGTAGAACTGAAAACAAGTGTAATATTATAATAATTATATTAATTGTGGTGAGAACTGGCTTGAAACCAGAACGTCTGGTCTCTGTAAACTAGTTTAACTAATCAGCTCTGTTTTAGTTTGACAGAGATCACAACCATAAAAAGTCAAAAGGCCTCACATCTACATCTCACACCTGTTACTTTTCACCTTCACTGCAGTTAAATAAGGATCCACACATTAAACAGGACTGAGTGACCTTATTTATGACGCAGGAAAATTACATCCATAACATCGATTCATTTTATTGGCGTCACATTTGTCCTTACCTCTGTGAATCTGTGGCACATTGGTCTGGGTGTCTGCCAGCTGCTTTGTGGGTACTGAAGGCCTTTCATTTTGCCAAATAGGATAAAGAGAAGCAAACAGGGTGCAGACCTTAACTGGGATTCAGGCACATAAACCTATTGCCTCTTGAAGATCCAGAGGCAGATTCAAATCTGGATTCAGTGTCTGTTAGCTCCCTGATCCTGGTGGATGGATGCACTGAGAAGACATCTGATTATTTAACAACGAACACCTGACAATGTTGCTGATTCCTGCTTGACAGCTAAATGATTCACGCAGCCACTGCTACGGAAACCAGACCAGAAAAGACCAGAAGAAACCAGACCAGACCAGACCATACCAGTGCTTGTCTCTCTAGACTCTTTTTTTTTTCGCAGTGCAGCGACATAAATTAGGTGTGTGTGTGTGTTGTGTTTGTGTATACAGGCTTCGTGAGCGGACTCACTCTCTGTGGCCTCACCTGTGGAAGGATAGAGCTGACTATACCAACCCTCTGTACAAGGCTGAGCTGAGCCAGAGTCAGGGCGTCCTGAGACCCAACACCACCCCCTACTGCTTCAAGTGAGTCACTGCAGCAAACACACACGTGACACACCTGCTGTTGTAAGTCTGAGATGTAAATGATCTTACCGTTGAAAAGACAAATCAAATGCAGTTGTTCTGTGTATTTATTGTTATATTAAGACATGATAATACAGTATACTACATAACTTTATATTATACAGTATATTCTAAGACAGACAAGCATCACTCCTGGAATATAAAAGTAAATTTTTGTGATACTGTCAAACATCATCTGTTGTCTCTCCTGGTCTCCAGGATGTGGAAAGGTCTCTACAACCACATGGAGAAATCGATGCCTCCTCACCAGTCACCTGCCGACTTCCTGTCTGCCGTGAGGGAGGAGTCCCAGCAGCTGGAGGAGGAGCTGACCAATCACCAGGAGGTACCGCCAGGAGGAACCGCCCACCACCACCATCCGGGCTCCAGACAAGGCATACGGCACACAAAGACACCACCATCACCCAGACTGTGGTCCAGATCTTCATCAGTCCAGATCTATATCAGTCCAGATCAACATTAGTCCGGATCTACATCAGTCCAGATCTATATCAGTCCACATCAACATTAGTCCAGATCTACATCAGTCCAGATCTATATCAGTTCACATCAGCATTAGTCCAGATCTATATCACCCCAGATCTACATCAGTCCAGATCAACATCAGTCCAGATCTACATCAGTCCAGATCAACATTAGCCCGGATCAACATTAGTCCAGATCTACATCACCCCAGATCTACCTCAGTCCAGATCTACATCACCCCAGATCTGTATCAGTCCAGATCTACAGCAGTCCAGATCTGCATCACCCCAGATCAACATTAGTCCAGATCTACATCAGTCCAGATCCACATCAGTCCAGATAAACATCACCCCAGATCAACATCGCCCCAGATCTACAGCAGTCTAGCTCAACATCAGTCTAAGCCTACATCAGTCCAGAGCTACATCACCCTAGGGGCTGGTTTCACAAAGATATCTCAGACTGGTCGAGAAGGAGAGAAGGATTAGAGATTTTTTTTCAAATCAAATTTTTCTTTTTATTGTTTCACTTTTAAAGTAAAACGTCCTTATAACTGTTGAATTCTTCCAAAAGACAAACATTTCTGAGCTTAACTTTAACTAACACGAGTGTGTAAGAACATCCCACCATGACGACATTCTGTATTTGTCAGTGAGGGAGGAGCAGATCTGGATCTGCACAGTAACCGGTCACAGATCTCAACACCTTAAATCTGAATTTTACATCAAACATTATTTCTTGAGAAACTGAAATGTTCTGTCACAATTTTGAGTAGATGATGAGTCAGTCAGAGAGACAGAGAGAGAGAGAGCGAGAGACAGACAGACAGACAGACAGAGAGAGAGAGACAGACAGACAGACAGACAGACAGAGAGACAGTCAGTCAGAGAGACAGACAGAGAGAGAGAGACAGTCAGTCAGAGAGACGGAGAGAGAGGGACAGACAGAGAGAGACAGACAGACAGACAGAGAGACAGACAGACAGAGTGAGACAGTCAGTCAGAGACAGACAGAGAGAGAGACAGTCAGTCAGAGAGATGGAGAGAGAGGGACAGACAGAAAGAGAGAGAGACAGTAAGTCAGACAGAGAGAGAGAGACAGTCAGTCAGACAGAGAGAGGGGGCAGTCAGACAGGCAGACAGACAGACAGTCAGACAGAGATACAGTCAGTCAGACAGAGAATAACAGAGAGACAGTCAGAGAGACAGAGGTGAAAACATGAGCTCATTGGTGAAGGTGATGATGTCGGTGAAGCATGATGATGTCATGAGGCTGCTACATGTGACGGCATGAGGCTGTGACCACTTCCTGAATGCTCTGTGTGTCTCCTCTCTGCAGAGGATAGCTGCCCTGACAGGGCAGCCAATCACGTGGGAGAAGATTGAGGTTCCAAGGAGGAGGAGGACCACCCACCTGCCGCAGAGACACTGTGGGCCGGACCCGCCCACCGCTTACACAGACCCAATCACCAGCCCTGCACAGGACACCGGTCATACAGTCTCCTCTCAACCAGCCAATCAGAAGGACCCAGCTCTCACCCTGCAGATGGAGCCACACACACAGATCAAGAATCACGACCCTGATGACCTCTCCACCTGCAGCGACCTGGAGTCGGGCGTGGCCGACCTCAGCAGCCGCTCGTCCAGCGGCGGGGACTACGCCAAGGACCCGGAGTTAGAATGAGGAGACCTGTGCTACTGCCTGACTGGAAAACAGGGTGAGGGTGACAGAGGAAATGACAAGTGTCCTAAAAATATTTATTCAAACAGCTGGAGAGGAAGAGGAGGGAGGAAGATTAAAGATGGAGATGAGTTTCTCCTTTGTTTTCTCATCAAAGAGAGAAACATCAGTTTCCTGTGTTTCAGTTTGAGAGGCTGCTTTTATACGTGATGTTTATTATGTTTATTTATTGTTGTTTGTATTTAGTTTCAGGGATGAACTGTTACTGTGACACACAGGGGTCAGGGGGACGAAGAGCAATGTGTCTCTGTAGTTGCCATGCTTCACTTTCCCTCCTCATCACCATAATTCAACATGATGATTCACTCTTCTTCACTGATAATCTCCTGTCACTCACATCATGTCTCAGCATCATGATCCCGGTCCAGTCTGGACCTAGTCAGGTGTGAGGGGCCAAGAGTTCAGCAGTACAGTAGTAATGTAATTAGAGTCACATGCATATAATTGGTGTGTTATTGATGTGAAGAGCAGATGGGTGTCATGAGTCAGGACTGGGTAGATGTATGTGGTCTTGGTCCTGGATCAGGGGTCAGGACTGTGCAGATGTGTGTGCTCTGGGTCCTGGATCAGCTGCTACAGACAAACATGAGGTCTGAACACTGGAACCTGGACAGGGACTCAGATGAAGCTTTCGTCCTTGAACTTAAACCTAAACCACCTCAGTCCAGTCCCCCCTCTGAGGGTCTGCAGGACCTGTATCAGGACATGTGGTGGTTCCTCAGCTCTGATGGACTCACAGTCAAAGAGAAACAGTGAAATACATAATGTTCCTGTAGCAGTGTGTAACATGATGTGATGATATTTACCCTCTGCAGCTCGTCATATGATGTTCTAGCTGTTGTCATGGAGACCATGTTTTACTGATATTTATTTGAATCAGCCACAAGAAGAACCTCTGACTAAGGGTCACCTGTCGGACTGGAGAAGCACAGGTGTTTTTGTGTGGTCCAGATCAGTGTCATGGAAACAAGACTTCACTGGACCTTCACCCAGCAGAGAGAGAAGAGATAAACGCCAGAGTGCTTCATCAGCTGGTTCTCACCGACTCTGACAGGAGGGACCGTGTAAAACCAGCGTCACTGACTGAGTCTCTGGATCTCCTCTCCCTCTTGTACATGTCCCCGTAGCCTGTGGTGTGTGTGTGTGTGTGTGTGTGTGTGTGTGTATGTGTGTGTATGTTTGTGTGTGTTGTGTATTCAGTGATGTAACAGATTGATCAATAAAAACACAGTTAAAGGGAAAAGAAGTGTAACATACTGAGTCTGAAGTTTCCTTCAACATCCTGCACAGGTCTTCAGACTGCTGCTGGCTCTGGGAAATTATATGTCAGATCCAGATTTACTGGTCAGGTAAAAGATCCACAGGGACCAGATGACTGCTGTGTTTAGTAAAAGGAGCTGGTCACTCAGAGACTTTGGTTCTGTTGTGTCCACTGATGCTGTGACTCTCACTGTGACTGGTGCACTTTAAAACTTCTCTAACTCTCTAACTTTTAGCTGTTGCCTCACCTTCAGGTGACATATTGACACAAACCTCTTACTGTTCTCTGTCAACCATGAAAACTGTTGACTAACATGTAGAATAAAAATCAGGTGGCTCAGAACGTGATGTAAACATGTCTGAACAGACTGAAACCTGAGGCCTGTACTACGAAGCAGGATTTGAGGTCATGGAGGTAACTTCAGGTTTAACTAGGGTTTCAGCCCTATCACGGTGGTTCACTTGTTACCGGGGTAAATCACCATGGTAACTTAGGCTGAAATCCTAACCTGCTCTGGTGCAGGTTAACTTCAGAGGATCAGATCAAAACCTGTCAACAGCCAAAACTGAGTCATAATTCCTACAGGATCCTGACAGGGACAAAAGAGTTTAAAATAAAGTGATAAATAATAATGACTGGTTTTAAAACAAAGCTTCTAAAAAAATTATAAAAATACTACTATAAAAAACTATTTTAGCTTCATTTTAATTGAACAAATATATTTTAATCTGCCAGGATTTCTGACAGTGTCGATGCTTTTACTGTCTTCTTCATCACTGCAGCTCAGAATAACATGAGGAGACTCTGAGACCACAACTGGAAATAAAAACTAAACCAACAATGATCCACACACTGTTAGTCAGTCAGACTGACTCATCAGACATCAACTACTCCTCTCCTCTTTTCTTTCTCTCCTCTCTGCAGCAGAAACAGTCTGACTTTAACTTTAACTGTTTTATCTGCATCACATTCATCACAGTTTGTTCATCATCAGACTGAAGAGCGAAAATACTCAGTAAGAAACATAATGATAATTCATGCACTTATTTACAATATGTTTTTAGTTTGACTTTAATAGAAATTATATTTAGACAGATTTTTTTTTTTATTCCAGTCATGTGATCATATTATTTACATTTCACCTTGTCAAACATCACTTTTAGACATGGCTGTAATCGAAATTACCGGCAGGTAAACCCAGGGTTAACTGAGCCAGTTGATGTGCCAGCTTTGTAGTACAGGTTTTCCACGGCCAATGTTAGGTTCAGTTAACCCAGATAACTAAAAGCTATCCTGGGTATGTTGAACTCGCTTTGTAATTCAGGCCGAATTCAGAAAACAAAAGACATCATTCAACATCAACAGTCAGATGTGTTTGTGACATTAACAGTGATGTGATCAGCTGGGCTCTCCTCAAAACTTCCACTAGCTGAAGCTGTTACACAACCACACCTGACACTGTCAGACTGTGTGCACAGTGATAGGTTTTCATTTTAAAACTAAATCATCCTTACTAACACTTAAAAACACATACATACATGACCATTCATGTATATATCTGCAGTTGGTTAGTTACAATAAATCCTCTGAATGAGGAACAACAAAGAGTTGTAGTGTTAAAATACAGAATTTAACTGAACAACAGCTGCTAGAAAAGACAAGGTCAATAACACCAGTTTTCAGCCTCTAAAACACAGACTATCAGGAACGCTGCTGGACCCTTTTTATTTTGAAAACTCTGGGGTTGTTTTTTATTTTGAAAACTCCAGGGTTGTGTTGTTGTCTGGACAGAAACTGAGACCCTGGGAAACGATGATGTAGACACCCACGGTCTCTCCTGATTGGCTCTCATCAGCCTGGACTACCAGTGGTGAATACAACATGATAATGAATTACAGTGTTACTGACCTTGTTGTCTTTGCTAGCAGCTGTTGATAAGAGACATTCTCTATTTGAATGCTATATTTGTCTTTAATTTAACAAACCAACTGCAGAGTAGACAATCTGCTTCCTGTTTACACCGACTCGCACATGCTCAGTGTATGTGAACATCAGGTGACGTGTTTTTTTTAGGTGTGTCAGTGTGGACGGAGCTAAAACACTCATCTGTACAGAGATCGATTTAGTTTTAAGATGAAAACCCATCAGTGTGGACACAGTTAGTCACAGTGGTCACATGGGAGCTGATTCAGGATCAGATGATGTTGACATCAGTACACAAACACAAATCCCAGTCACTTCAGGCCTTAAACAGATTTACAGTTTTCATTTCAGTCAGTGATAAAGACAGTGATAAAGTAAACACACTCCATCAGTGACCTCTGACCTGTGGATTGAGACTCATCCTGTTTCTCCTTCATTCATGCCCTTCCTTTAACTCGGCACTGCCTGTGCTGCTCAGGGTTCAGTTTTTACCAACGAGTCAGAATCTTATTGGAAAAAAGTTGTCTTTTTATTTTATTGATTCTAAACCCAACCAAAAACACCCAGAGATATCGGCCGTGTGTGGCTCCTCCTCCTCACCATCACAGACATGATGACGTGGGCTCAGCTGAAGGTCCTGACAGGTGAATGATGATCAAAGAGTCTCTGCTGTCAGGAGAAGAAAAGCTGTTCACACAGCTGTCGAGTTTCCTCTGGACACGAGACCTCATGGCCGACAGTCCGAGGGTCACAGTAGATCTCATAGTCATTTCCTCCCTGACACACACACACACACACACACACACACACCTGGTGTAATGTCATGCCTGAGTGTTAAATGGTAATGATTTTGTATCAGCTGCAGCTCACACTAAACCAGCTGTTCTCCACCCACACTGGAACCCCCTGGAACTATGACGATTGATCAAATTTGCTGAAACGTTGTGGAGAATGGACAAAAATACAAGGTCGCACAGAATTCACTGGGATTGGTTGAGTTTGTGTTAATTATTGCGATCGCGACATCGCAACATTCTAGAGGGACTGATCAACAACCCACTCACCGGTCCAGTGATCCCAGTGTGTCTGACTGGTCTTTGAAAAATTAACATGTGTGTCAATAGGTGTTACTCACAGGTTTGGTCTTGTCTCCAAAGAAGTGCATGGTGGAGAAGTGGTCCTTCTCAACGATCCCCAGACAATACCTCTTATCCCAGCCGTCAGGAAACACATCAAAGCTGATCTGGCCTCCTGCAAGGGGAGTCACACATTCACACCACACTGAGAGAAGGTCACCTGAGGTCACCTGAGTCAGTCTGTTTTATGGCACTGTGGTAAAACACAAGCACTACACATGTTTCTATGATGGTCTCTGCCTCATGATGTGACGTGACGTTCACTCACCGATAGAGAATGAGAGTCCTTTTCCTCTGAACTCTTCCTGTAACACGGACACAAACTTCTCTCTGATCTTCTCCCGCTGTGAGAACAAAGAGAGAGGATCAGACCTGCAGCTGCTTCCTGCGTCAGTATTTCACCTCTATACAGACACTGCTTCAGTTAAACAGGAATATATTGTCCATTACATCTACACTCACTGAGCACTTTATTAGGAACATCTGTACACCCTCAGTATTCCAATTAACCAATCACATGGCAGCAGATCCAGGTGAGGAGCTTCAGTTAATGAGGACAAATGTGACTCAGTGACTCTGTGACATGATTGTTGGTGTCAGACGCTGGTCGGAGTGTTTGTCAAACTGCTGATCTCCTGGAATTTCATACTCAGCAGTCTCTAGAGTTTTTACTCAGAATGGAGCAACAAAAACAACCAGTGAGCAGCTGCTCTGTGTTGATGAGAGAGGTCAGAGGTCAGAGGAGAATGGACAGACTGGCTGGAGCTGACAGAAAGGCTACGGTCACTCAGATAACTACTCTGTACAACTGTGCTGAGCAGCACCTTATTGATGAGAGAGCTCACTGTAAACTGCTGTGTATCACAGACTGTAGAAGAATCTCACTGGCTTCCTGTGGAAGGAACCAGGCTACAAAGAGCTTGTGACTGGAAGGTCACCTGTTCGATTCCCAGTCTGGAAGGATTAAATCTGGGTGGGTAAAGTGAAAGAGCAGCAGCCATCATCAACAGCACTGTAGTGCCCTGGAGCAAGGCCCTTCACACCAGCTGCTCCAGTTGAGTAACCAGCTGGTCAGAGTGGTTGTACTAGTCAACTTCCAAGTGTGAATGTGGCCGAGTGCTCCTGTAGAAGAGAGGCTTCCTCTCAGGCCCTATTCAGAGCTGGTATTAACATGTGTCTTCAGTGATCTGATCACAGGCGGTCAGCTCTGAGTTTGTCAGTTCACACCTGGATTTAAAATGTATCTCCACATGTGTCTCCATTGACCACGTGTGATCAGATCTCACTTCCCCACTTTGTATGCATAGAACAGGTATGTATTGTTGTTTTTAGGCAACTGACAGAAGGGTCTGTTGTCTGTGTGTGTGTGTGTGTGTGTGTGTGTGTGTGTGTGTGAGAGAGAGCGAGAGCAAGCGGGCCATGGAGGGGTTGAGCGAATTAATGCGCTGTGCACAGCTCTTACAGTGAAATCAGGTTTTATCCAGTTGAAATAGTAAAATGTTTTGGTTCCATGGTGAAACTGTGTTGGGACTAATCAGACTGAGACAGAGGACGTCAGTAGAGTGGGCGGTCCTTCAGAGCTCGTCAGTCCCAGGACACATTGACATTCACGCTGCTAAAAGCATGTGGCCCAGACCAGCTCTGAATGTGGTCTGAGCGATCGGATCTTAAATGTGTCTTCAATGCGTCTCGGGTGCGTTCACACCTGAACTTAGAGCTGAGCACTTGTGATCAGGTCACCTGAGACAGATGTTAATACCAGATGTGAACAGGGCCTTGGTTAAACTACTCTGAATAAATAAAGGTTAAAAAAACAGTCATCACTGTAGAAGTTTATCATTCCCACCAGTTTCATAATGAACCATAAATAATTTTACACATCTCACACTGTTTCCCACACAGCACCAGACCAGGCATGTCAATCAAACAGGCACGCCCCCAAAATACCAATCTTTAAGACTTAATATCTAATTAATTAGATGATTATTTTCAGATGGACCACCAGAACACTGAACAAGAGGTGTGAATTTAGACACCGTAATGAGTTGTGGAAAAGATGTATTGACTGAGTAATTCAATTGAGAAGTTGGGAGTTTTTTGAATGGGTGTGTAATGGAGCCAGAGTTTTTTGGAGCCAGCCCCTAGCGGCCCTCAGTGGTATTGCACTTAAAGTCACTTTCGCATTGGCTTCACTTCTCAGCCCCGCAGCCTACGTCCATTTTTATTTACAGTCTATGGTATCAACACTGACCACCATGGGTGCAATGGGCACAATCTTATTTCAGTGTAGAAATAAGATTTTAAGATATGTGATTGCCCATCCACTGACTGATGACAGGTGACAGGTAGATCTGCAGTAATCTGAGCTGAAAGAAGATCAACATGCCCCAACCTGAGGATCAGAGTCAGCTGTTAATTCTCTGTGGCTTCATCACTACAAGAGAGCCCTGTCACAACTGATCCTCTGTTAATGTAAAAATATTGACTGGTTTAGCTCAAAGTGCGTGAATGTGCGTGTCACCTGATCCAGCTCGTAGAACTCCAACCTCTCCTCCTGCGTACAGCTGCGTCCGACAGGAGACACGTTCAACATGCCGTTACGGAATTCAATAAACGTCCCCCTGTAAGATAAACCACATCAGTCTCCATGAGGCTGGACCAGAACCTGTCAGACTCCCAGTTCACATCAGTTACACAACTGTTAAATCAAAAAACGAATTCATATTGATGACTGTGATACGTGTGTACCTCTTCTTCGGCAGTTTGATCGTGGCCATGTAGTTGAGACAGAAGTTGATGAAGTCCTGCAGCAGCTCTTCTCCCATATGAGCCTGGATGGACTGACAAAGTAAAACTCCTGTCACATGAGGTGACCTTCTGCGGAGCGGCTTCGATCTTTAAACTGAACAGAAGCTCATTGTCTCACTTCAAGCAGAGCTGTCGTCATGTATTTGTATTAGGGCTGCATGCACGATATGCAAAAAAAAAAAAAAAAAAAAAAAACATATTGCGATTGCGGTTTCAGTTGGATTTTGCATTTCATTTTCTCTGAAAAAATATGAAAATTTGATTTTTGTTGGGTCTCGTATTAAACAAACATGTTCCTTTACATCTGGAGAATATGATTCGGAGCATCTCTGCAGCTCCTGTGATTTGGATATTGCAGTTGGCCATCTTGCGGTTTCGATTATATTTCAATAAATTGTGCAGCTCTACTTTGTATAAGTGTTTTTTGGTCTGTAGATACTCTCTACTGAAGAACCTGAGCAGCTGCAGACGAGTGAAGAGGAGCAGAAGAGGAGGAAGATTAACCTGCAAAAAGTCTCATCAATGATGCAAACTGTGCATTGTAAGAGGCAACACCTTTGTTGCAGCACCACCTTGAAGCTGTTTGCTCCATGGTTTTGTACACTCCGTCTTCATGACATCATAAACCTACGTACCAGTTTTCATGCTGATTGGGTGTTCACAGTAGATTTACAAACTGCTGGAGGCATCATTAACAAAGTTATTAAAGCAAAAGTTAGAAGCTGTAACTGTGAGTCAGTGCATCAAACTTTCTATCATCAGTTTCTATCAACAACAAGCAGTTTTTTGTTGTAGCGCCTTCTTGTGGTGGGTTTGTACGAAACTGTGATCATCCACAGGATGTCGTAAAGACCCAACATGTTAAGTTCCATGAGAATCAGACAATACATTGTCGAGATGTAAGATCAAAACAGATTGCCAGACTGAAATTTCCTCTAACAGGAAGTGACTGACGAGATGTTGACAGAAGTTTTTTTAGAAAATGGAGACAAGATCACGAAATTAGACATTTTTGCAGCAGAAGACCTTTGGAGCCAAGATGAAGATGAACTGAGATTAAAATGAAGGAGGTCTGACTGTGAGCCGTTTCCAGGATAATTATGAAAACATAAAATCCCCCCAGCCCACTCAGGCTTGGACCCCTAATCAGAACAAAAGGTGTGGTATGGACAACTTAAATCAGTCTTACCTGGACAGAGAGTAACTGTCCGTTCTTATAGGCCACAAGACCATTCTCGGCAAACACGTAGTCCACTTTGTGGATCACTACACACAGAGACAAACAGAACAACATCATAAGAAGTAAACACATCACTGGTCTGCAGCAGAGGTCCAGGTGTGTGTGTGTCTCACCATCATCTCCCAGCTGCTCCTTGATCTTGATCAGGTCTGACCCTCCGACCACTCCGACTCGAACCCGAGTCCTCAGCTTGTCGAGGAACTCTGCCATGTCTGGAGTGACACGCTGCAACAAATGACAGCATCTAAGTGACCTAATCCAAGTGATGCTTCGAAAGAAAAATAATAATCAAACAATAATAAAAAATGAAGCCTAGGTAGAGCACTGAGCTGTAGACAGAAAGATCGATCAGATTTAACAGTTTATATGATGAGTTTCTTACTACAGTTTAGACCGTTTTTTATTCAAATACATTCTGTAAGTTTTACCGCTGAATTATTTCCAGTTGTGCTTTCAGAGAGAAAATACATGAGTCACTTTGCTACTCAGTCCTGTTTTGTCTGTTGCGCTAAACCCTCTGACAACAGTGTCCCTAACTCTGCACAATCCCTGTCCAGACACTGATGGTGCTGCATCATGAGATACAGTGAGACACTGGTCAGATCCAGGAGGGAGGAGAGCACACAGGGCCACAGGGGTACACATCTCATCAACATTCATTTTATAACTGCAGCATTCAACTAGGAGAAACGTTATTAAGTCCAGTAATGGAAAAAAAACCCTCTCAGATCTGGATTGTTGGAGCTTGAATTTGTTGCTTAATGATCTGTGACTACCACAGGTCTGACAAGAAAACTGTATGAACTGGTTTAACAGCCCCACAGAAACAGGACACTGCGTCGTTTGAGTTCCTTATTGTAGAAGCTAAGAGCAGTGTCATTAGTTTCACGTCAGCTTTAATATTTCCTGTAATGTTTCCTTTGAACTCACACCAACTGTCAAATAAGAAAAACATCACTTGTCAAATCAAAAACGTCAAGCAATGCTGCGCTCGTCTGGGAGTGTGGGACTCGGTGTTGGAGGGCTTTATAACCCACTCCCACTTAAGGATCATTAGGTTTGGAACGACACTCAATGTGGCGGCCTCTTGACATGAAAGCGCAAACGGAGTGAGTTGTTGGGGGGGGGCGGATTGGAATTGGGCCCAACTGTCAAATGTGTGAAGTCCTTCACGATTATCGCTCCGTCAGAAACTTTCGCTGCAGGAAGCGTCTCCAACGTCTCCTGGTCTATGATTGGTTTGCAACGTTAGTTACACACACGTACACCTGACAGTTCACTATCATTTATCATTATTATAACGTCTGTCAGATGCAGACATGCAGCTGGTTACACATATCAGCTGGAGTTAAAGTGGAACCATGATCCAATGTACACGGAGCGAATTATCGCTCGGACCAACTACAATAACAACGTGGAACCGGAAGTTGCGATGACATTATGTAGCCTACTGTTAAATGTCTGAGTGAAACATTAGCTCTTCGCGCGCGCGCGCGCGCACACACACACACACACACACACACACACACACACACACACACACACACACACACACACACACACACACACACACACACTCTCTCTCTCTTTCTTTCTCTCTCTCTCTCTGTTTACTTGTCTCGCGGCAGTCAACGTTCCGTCAACATCGAAGAGGCAAAGCGTGCTCGAGTCCACGGCGGCGTCACTCATCTTGTGTCCGGGTGAGCTGCAGTCTCGCTGTGGACACGCTCAGTGTGGAGCTGCAGTGGAGGTCCTGTCCACGCTGTGATCCACCTGTAAAACTAAAACTACTGCCACGGAGAGGAGCTTCTGTTTCTTCTGATGTTTAAAGGCGGCTGACAAACAGCTTTTAGGTGCATTACCGCCACCTACTGATTTGGAGTGTGGATCAGGATTACATGGATTATATTTTCTTCCTGTGCTAAACCTGAGTTTAACTGCAGCAATTCTTTCACTTTAAATTCAGTTAATCTTTTTCCAATCTGTATTTGAGAACCTGTCTTTCCTGTTGGCACTGAGGACAATACATAACATGTTCTACTGTTTCCTGTACATTATTCCCATACACAGTTGCATGTATAAGAGATCAGCTTCTTCCTCTGTAGTGTTTACTAAGGGCTCGCTAAAGTAAGGTGCATGCTGCCACCTAGTGAACAGGAGGATCAACATGAACCTAAAGCCTCTTCCTCGCAGCTCAGCAGCGTGTAAACCACTGCTAAGAACAGTGAGAGTGTATTTAAACAACTGAATCATGCATCAGTTTGAGCTCCAGTCTGATAGAACCGTCGCCAATGTTTTCTCCGCTCAACATAAATGGAGGGAGGTATCTCCTGTCATGCTGAAGTCATACAGACACTAATAGGAAACACCCTCATGTTCATTCTGCAGCTTTGTCATGGTTTCAGAGGAGGACAGACAAACCTTTTACAGATGGTTTCACAGAGGGACCTGACTGAGCTGTGAGCTGAGAGACATTAAACATCAGCACTGGAACAGAACTCAACACTTCTGTGACTGAACAGAGAGATTCAGTGTGTATAAAGTGTAAAGAAACTTGCAGGTTAGACTGGGTTCGTGCTCTGTTGTTTTAACCCAGTAAATAATAATTTCCCACTTACTGTGCACTTCATTATTGTGTGTGACAACACAACACCTGGTTCAGATATACTCTGTGATTATAGCAGATAAAGCGTCTTTAACTGCATTTACACTAAAAGCAGAATCTGATTATTTTGTCTGTGGATTTTTATCCTATCATTGTCTAACACTGTGTACACCCTGAATGTGACATCTAATAATTTCTAACAGTATCAGTAATGTTAAATTATACAATGGCGTGTATAACATTTATAAAGCTGTATGAAAATGAACAGACATTAAACAAATATTAATGTTCTCTTACTTTTTATTTCAACTTAAAAATAGAAAAAAATCAACTGTAGTTACAGTTTCACTTGTAAAACACTCAAAACTTCATTCACCTGTTAAATTCAAACCTTGTGGTGACACTCAACAACCACGTAGCACCTCTAAGCAGCTGACTGAGGATCTGAAAATGAAGCTAACTGATGCTACAAAGCAGGGGAAGCTCCAGGAAGACATGTCATTCAGAAACAGTGGTGAAGATGAACTGTGGGGGACAAGATGAGATCTGGGAGAGTGCTGTGATGAAGTTGAGCTCTCTGTTTGTGGAGCATTTAATGAAAACCACATCTAAGTAACTGTTCACCATGTTGGTGTGAATACTCTTTTACTTCTGTCTGTGTTGTGTGGCAGCTAGACACAGGAAACACTGACACACAGAGTTTCTGGATTGTAGACAACACGACCATGATCCAAAGCAGACCTCAACATCCACCATGATCTACCTGAACAAACATAGGCCCCACAGTCTGACCTGAACATCACTGAGAGGAAACTCCCACCATTTTATTAGGTACACCTATATAAACTGATGCAGTCTAAAACAACTGCTGAAGTTATAAGCTTATTACATGTAATTATTACTGATGTGTTAGTTAGTGGTGGTGTTGTACTGGTCTACATTATATTGAAATTTGTCTCAAATATTTAAAACCCTCTTGTTTATAAATGTAAATATTAGAAACACTCCAGTCCAAGCAAAATGGAGCAATATTATCTGTATATGCTGTAGGATTAAAACCGGAATAAAAATGTTATAGAAAGGTGAAGGTAGCCACAGAGCGTGTTGCTGTATGAGGACAGCCCACTGTTATTTTGTTCAGGTCGTTAGACTTAGCAGGGAGTAGATTTTCAACAAGTCATTTGTCCAACAAAAGGAGGAACATTTAGCTGAAGTTTTCCTTTGACATGTATTTGCCGGCTGCCCTCAGAGAGAGAGCCCATCTATTTAATGCATGGTTGACTTGAAGACAATGGGTCTGAGGTCTGATCACCCTCCATGCACTCCAACTGTGTGCCCTTATTATGGAAACTGGGGTTTTCATTTCTCATTTGTCTTCATGTAGTAGCATTAATATGTGTGCACGTCTCTCTCCGTGCAGTTGCTTCATATGAACAGGGATTTGGAGCTGGTCCTGTAGGCTCTAGAGAAGACCCCAAAGGAGTCAATCAACACAATCTGTTCTGCTTTCTGTTCCTGTGACCAGTTAATCTTTGCTTCTAAAACTCTTCTTTGACGTTTCTGTGGACCAGCTGATGATCTGAGACAGAATAATGCACTCGGTTCATCTATTTACTTTTCTTTATTAGTAATTTTAGTTGAAATTGTCCTGCAACTATATCTGCATGTATGTAACAGATGATTGTAGAGAATATCACTGCCGTGATATCAAAACATTTTATCCAAGAAGTAGATCAGCACAGGTCTACATTCCGCCTCCATCCTCACTGGTGAGCTGTGGTTCTTTACAATAATATATTTTAAAGGCATTAACATGAGATTGAGCTTATTTTACTGCCGATGCAGTCTTTTCAGCTGCACAGATACGAGTATCGCTTACCACCAGGAATAAACTGAAGTGAGAAATTCCTCCATGAACAAGGATCTCTTCATTTAATCATCTACAAGGTGTAAAACAAAACAAACACAAGAAAACCTCAAGCTCCTAAAACTCTGGAGATGATTGATGGTGTGCAGCAAAGACAGAGGACTGGGAAGAACAATAAGTCTGGACATTTGTGACTTGTTTTTACCCGACTTACACACTTCCTGCTCCTGGGATTGTTTATACATTATGGATATATCATTATGCATCTTACTGATGAAGAGCTGTCATGATGTTGTGTAAGCCTACATGAATAATCTCTTCCCTTTGTTATTTTTACACTGTGCATTTCCCTGCCCGTGAAGAAAAGGAGATTATATACCACCCGCCTGTGTAGGTCCATGTAGAACAAAGTGCCCATTGCCTCCATACTTTGTTGTGATTTAGTTATCCGTTGTTTGATAAAGGGGGTTTTCATACATCTTATATACCTATACACATCAATCTGATATTGCAAAGACTGCACACACATTAGTCATCCAGTAATATATATATATATATATTGAGATATATATTTGGTCAATGCACCTCAGTAGTTTACAATGTTAATTTGACCACTCGTTTATTAGAGGAGAGAGCACAAACGCCACACCAGTCACTTATATTTGTGAAGGGGAGGGGGGGTAAATCCGGAAGTCTAATTTTCCTTTTCTGTCCAGTTGAGCAGTCACCTGCCCTGAAAACAAAGTGAGCAGTTTTGTTTTTGACCGACCGAGGAGTTGAAGGAGACGCCACAGAAACGGGCCCTTAATTATTTATGCTGCTGTTTGTCTCACACAGAGGAAACAAACAGTTGAAACGTACACGGACCAACACATCAACAGACACTCTGACCCCAAGCTAACAAAGGAGTTTTCGCGCCGAATGTTTAAAAGCCCAGTTAAACCAATCAGCGTACAGTCGACGCACACAAACTTGATTTCTTAATCACGCACACTACAACCAATCACAACGGCGGGTGTGTCTTGTGTCCTACGTTCAAATTTAAATGCTCCAATCTGACCAATCCGCTGAGGACAGGGAGGAGTTATTGAAGTGGTTCTGGTCAAGTTAGTTGAGCCTCGCAGACAGTGACAAAACAGTTGCGCTTTCTTCCTCATTCACTCGTTTACAACTTATCTTGCAGCAAACCGGTAAGATCCGCCGTTTTCTACAATTGTGTCTAGCTACCTTTGTTATTTAAAGTCACGATTTCTTTTGTAATTTCGTGTTATGACTACGTCGACCGAGTTTCGTTTTTTAGGATGTTTACTGCCTAAAATCTAATAGTAAATAAGTTATTTTTTTCTGATTTGTGTGTTGGCGTTAATCACAACGATACATGTATTCTCCATGTGAACAAAATCGTTGGATTCGGTAATTTCAGACGAAAAACGGTGACGTTTCGGGTGTTTTTCGACACTGAAATAGGCGGTGTAGTCTGTAGCTGTGTGCGCAGCATGCAGTTCAAACGCCATTTGGTTTAGTAGCTTAGCCTACTACATGACGGCGGCTCCCCCATTTAAAGTTTGAATTAGGGTCCAGACTTACTTCTGTGGTCAGTCGCTCGGCAGTTAAAGACAGAATAGCATCCGTGTGACCGTGAAGTGGTTGCTGAATACTTTGTCAGGCTGAATACTTTGTTAGGCTGAATACTTTGTTTGGCGCAGTTTAGTTTAGGCGGGAAGATACAAAATGGAGTCGCGTCTTTTTGTCCGAGAGAGGCAGAAATCCGATTAGAGCCTTAAAACAGCCCTTGGCGTCTGTTTGTCCCATTTGTGCCATTGTAACGTTATTTGCAACAGACGGGAAGTGGGCGAACATTTACTTTAGTCGACATTGACAAAACTAAAAGTTAGCATTAACGTATATACGGATGTGTTTTGTGCAGATATAAGCCCGAGCAGATCTGTAAATTCACATTACACTACCCGCTCAGACACTTAAGTAGGTTGTTTTGTTGCGCCTGTTTCATGTGGTGTTTTCTGCGGTTGTTCACAGATTAAACGCAGCCATGACAAAAGACCCAAACAAGCCTAGAGGAAAAACCTCCTCCTATGCTTTCTTTGTCGCGACCTGCCGTGAAGAACACAAAAAGAAACACCCAGGGACCAGCGTTAGCTTTGCAGAGTTCTCCAAGAAATGCTCTGAAAGATGGAAGGTAAGTCACGCCAGTTTCTAACAAGATTTAAATCAGAATATTTGCATTTGAAGCGTAGGAGTGGGCTCGTGATTATTTGTATATGGAGTTGTGAAGTGAATAGTGAGTTTATTGAATAGCCATATTGTTTTAGTGCAGCTGCTGTTCCTGCCCCCATATTAACCCCACCCCTAAAGTGGGAAAGGAATGACAACTCCACAGGAGGACCTTAATTTAGACGAAAATCGTAATTTAATAATTAATCGTAACATTAATATGTCCATGGAGTTTATAAACTTTAAAAATTTAGACATTTGAGACTGAACTCCAAATTGCAATTTTTGTGACTTTTTTTTTTTTTTTTTTTTTTTTTTTTTTTAAAGACCATGTCTGCCAAGGAGAAGGTGAAGTTCGAGGATTTGGCGAAGAATGACAAGGTTCGCTATGACCGAGAGATGAAATCGTACGTTCCTCCTAAGGGTGCCAAGAAGGGCAAGAAGAAGAAGGACCCCAATGCCCCTAAGAGGCCACCGTAAGTACTACACTACCCCATGCAGTGCTGGATTTATTTCCATATGCAGGGATGTAATCTGTGCCCACTTGTATCCCTTTCTCTCCCCAGCTCTGCTTTCTTCGTGTTCTGCTCCGACCACCGCCCCAGGATCAAGGAGGAGAACCCTGGTATCTCCATTGGTGATATTGCCAAGAAGCTTGGCGAGTTGTGGGCTACACAGAGTTCCAAAGACAAGGCTCCCTATGAGGCCAAGGCTGCCAAACTGAAGGAAAAATATGAGAAGGTATCCACCTGTTGTGCAGTCTTTGCTTAGTTACCAGTAGGTTAAAGCCACAAAGGCTGGGAGTTTGTTTTTGTGAAAACAAACTCAACAAAGACACCAACCAGTGACAAATTGCCCGTAATGACAAAATGTGGTATTGTAAATGCTCAGTAAGGCACCAGTATGTGGCTGGAACGGCATCTAATAAATCTTAATGATACATATCATCTGCTAAAGACTACAGTGCCATTAGAGTTTTGCTTTAAAGGTGCTAACACAATTTTTATTACATGAGAATACTGAGTGGCGAGACATTAAGGATTTCTTGTGTTTCCAGGATGTTGCCGCCTACCGTGCCAGAGGAGGTTCAGGGAAAAGTGATGCTGGTAAGAAGAGTGGCCCGGGCAGGCCCGCTGCCAAGAAAGCAGAGCCAGCTGATGACGATGATGATGATGATGATGATGACGAGGACGAGGAGGAAGACGACGATGATGATGACGATGATGATGACTAAGCAGTTTATGTTAAGGATGTGAAGTTTGCAATGCGTTGTTCAGCTTAACTGTTTTGTGTGTATGATTCCATCAGTATAGCCTGCTGTCCCTGTTGGTCTGCCTCTGTAGGATACCAGACCTGTATTCCTTTTCTAATTCAGGGATTTAGTTTATATTTTCACTTAGCGCCATTATGATTTTTTTTTTCCCCTGCTGAACTTGGGTGTGTTACATTGTTAGGTCCTCGTTACTATGAGAACGAGCAGCCAGATAAAAACTTCCTGTGATAATATAATGGACTGAGACTCCTGTACAGGCAGTGGACAGCAGCAAATCAGTAAAGTTTTAAAGTTATTGTTCCTGGAAGCACTGCATATGTTCTGTTTAGTGGTGCTGTTTCTTCACTGTCATTTTACTACCGGGTTCTATCTAGTTTTGATTTAAATGTTAAATGCAGCCATTTTTAATGTGGAACTATGAAAACTTTCATGTAGAATTGAATTTTTCTTTTTGTAATAAAATTTTGTATATTGATTATGGATGTGTGGCCGTATTGTTCACGTGTTTGTAATATAACTTGAGCAGAGCTTGGCCAGTATGATTAAACAGTCATGTTTCAGGTTAACTATGAATGTGTTCAACTGTAGGAACAGATGGTTCCTGCTCAACATCTTGTTGCTCCACCCTCAGAAAACAAATGACTAAACTATTCATAAAGCATCAGCTGATTTATTTTCTTGTCCAGGATGACTGCTCTATTCATGATGGCTTTCCCTTTTTTTCTTTTTTTTTCTTTTTTTTTAAATATAAATAAGGTTAGCAGGCATCCTGACAGAAGACTAGAAACACTAGCAGTGAGAAAAGTGATGTTTACAGTATTTGATATATTTCACTGTACAGTTCTTATCAGGTCCTGTCATGCATTAGACTTGGAAAAGCATTCAGATATTGATGCCAGGGGGGATTTGTGGGGGATTTATGGCTTGTAGGCATCAATGGATCACTGAACACGGGCCCTAAAGCCAGAGCCTCTGAGGAGACATTAAAATCCTTTGTTGAAGATTTGAGGGCCAAAAGTAACATGTTCGCCTTGAAGGTGTCACAAGGGCCCATCTTATAATATGTCCATGCCTGCAGGCTGTTGGAGGGTAAACAGTCAAGTCATTGGTTGAGGCTGTAACAGTTACTGTGAAGTCATGTAGAACCTCGTGCTCCCTTCCACTTTAATTGAGATCAGTTGTTTGGTTAGGGTTATTAACTTGAATGTGATGTGTTTGTAGTTCCAACAGTACGGCAGAATAATAGAATAAGGATGATGGCAGTCTTGAGTTATGATTTCCATTATCAGGAGGTCAGGATGAAAGAAATTTTACTGTGAATGTCAGTGATCATCTAATTAAACATTTACATCTGTGAAACCTGGTGTGTTTGCAGTCAGTCTGACCTTTAACTGGTGATTCAAACTTCTAGCCTAAAGTCTAGTGACCTGAGGAGCTATCCTGGCAATGACTGCCTAGTTCTACTGGAAATACCACTGACACAGTATCAGGGCCTTTGTTGAGTATGTAGAAAGCTACATGTGATGATAGTGACCAGGGGCTCCACCTTTAAACCTCCTCCCCTCATGCCTCCTGACTGAAGTCTATCCTTTATTAGTCACAATACAATATCAGTTTAATGTGGAACAGTTGCTAATTACCAGAAGCAATGTGTTCGTATTATGGCTCAGACTGACAGGATGTCAGTACAACTTTCCCTAGTGATTAGATGGAGCTGATCTATGTAATTGACCAATCTATCTAATTAACTCATGTGGATCAGTAATGTGTATACAGTGACACACAGGACTGTGCAAAAAGATGTAGGCAGAGATAACTGGTGGGGTCAGGTTCAGGTGGAGGTGAGGTTCAGGTGGAGATTTGGTTCAGGAGAAGGTTAGGGTCAGGTCGAAGTTTGGTTCAGGTGGAGGTTTGGTTCAGGTGGAGGTTTGGTTCAGGTGGAGGTGAGGAGAAACAGACTCGACTTCCTCCGCCTCCTCTTCCTGAGCCTCGGGATCTAACACCAACCATCTACAGTGAGATCCCTGTCAGTCTGACAGTCCGCGCAGCCAATGGCTGATCACGATAAGCATTCCCACGGACCAATCACCGATGTGATTTGGGCACCCTCACGCGGAGGACGGTGAGCAGGGCGCATTTCAGCACCTGGGAGCTGTCCGTCGTGCACGAGCCAGCTGACACCTGACGGTAAGAAAAAACACAGATACAGATCAGCTGTGTGTGTGTGTGTGTGTGTGTGTGTGTGTGTGTGTGTGTGTGTGTGTGTGTGTGTGTGTGTGTGTGTGTGTGTGAGAGAGAGAGAACAACAGCCATGACACATGAAGCAGAGTGAACCTGCGTGCCGCTCAGCCGTAGAACATCTGCGATAGGAAACAGAAGGAGGACCGGTCCGGTTCACTGCTGCGATAGTAGGTGATAAACACGGTTAGCTTATTGATTTAACGGAGGGTTGATCGTTTATTATTTATTAATGTTATGTGTGAAACACCAACCCTTTGTGTTTACATTAGTTTCTCTGGCGGGTTTACAATAGAACAACACGTCTGTATTATGATCAGGTAAATCAGAGAGATGCAGGTGAGACCACGGTAACAGACAGGCCACGCAGCTTTAACCTTCCCATCAAATTTAGATTAATACATTTCCTCATTTACATGAGAACGACCTATCCTGTGTATTCACCTGAGGAGGAGAGGACCTGTGTCAGTCTGATGATGACGAGACACACATCTGGAAAACAGGAACATCACAAAATCATCACAGCGAGGTGATTTTTTTTAATTCAGTACAGCCTTCTCTTGAAACTGTCCTCATACACTGTCTTTACACCGAGTTTTCACACCTTGTCATAATGTATAATGACACTGTTATGACTCTACCTGCTGGAGAGTGTGAGCTAACCTACTTAGAGGAAGCTGACAAGTCTGGTGTGGTCTCCTGGGACTATATTAGGTGTAAATAGGCAGAAATATTGACATGTCAAAACAGGAAATGCTCAGGTGTAATTCACAGCATTGATGAAGGCCACAGGTGAGCAAGGTGCAGGGTGGGTGTTGTACATGTTCGATCACAGGACGGTGCTGTCATTTATGTTAGTGTTTCCAAGATAAGTCAAGATATCTGCTGTGAACTTAAATGAGCCAACCAGCTGTGTGTGTGTGTGTGTGTGTGTAACAGGCTCTGTAATTGACACATTACTGGATTCATTATGAGGCACCTTAACTGATAGGCTGAGGCTGAGCTACCACCTGAAACTGAATTTACTGTGTACATTCAGTAAAAATCTTATTTAATAACGATTTTTAATAATATTTCTTTACTGTTTAGGGTCTAAGACTTGAATATGTTAGACATATTGGTATGTATTTTAACAGGAGTCTACAGCCATGCTAGTGGCTGTGAAACAGTGAACACACCAGTACTTTGTTTACTGTGGTTAGGTTAACATGTTAGCATGCTAACATTAGCTTACTAGCTCTAAACACAAAGTACAACTGTGTAACAGAAATGTGTAACAGATACTAGCGAAAGTGTTTGATGCACACGTTACCCTTCAGCCTCAAGTCAAGTAATGAGCAGGAACAGTATTAGCGCTGGTGTTGTCACTGTCAGTAGATCAACCTTATCTGGGTATCATAAATTCTCTGGCAGAGAAGAAACCTCAGAGCACGTAGATGTCAAACCTCATCTTGTTTCAAAGACTTGAACTCATTAACAAATACAGATGAAAGGTAAATATGGGATGACACCTTCCTCCATCAAAGTGCTGGTCATTACTGTGACAGCTGCACATCATTACTGTTCACACGATCTCACCATTATGTAATCAAAAAGAAATTTATATGTAAATCAGCCAATTTGCACCTTACAGGAAGAGGTGACAGGGTAACTGATCAACAGGTGTTTGAAGATTACCTTTGACAGGAAACCCAGTCCCTGTGTCCACTCCTTCAGGTCCATCTCCTCTGGGATTTAGGTGAACTGGACCTTTACAGAGAATTGTTCATGATGCCTCAAAAATGCTTTATTATAAAAGTCCAAAAGATTCAAACACAGCTACTTTCTGCAGATTCATGGACTTAATATGCTCTCAGGTTTGTATGGCTGTGTTTACTCTATACTCTATATAATCTATGATCATTTGTCACAGCATCTTTACTGAAGAGACTTTTCAGAAACACCCTGCAGATACACAGGACTGATTTAATGATTCTTATCTGAAGATCATTCTGAGTTTCTGGTTCAAAAAGATAAGAACTAACTATCCAGTATGAAACAAAATCTAACTAACCAGTACAAAATAAGAACTAACCAGTACAAAACAAGAACTAATTCAAAATAAGAACTAACCAATACAAAATAAGAATTAACCAGCACAAAACAAGAACTAACCAGTACAAAGTAAGAACTAATTAACCAGAACAAAATAAGAACAAACAAACCATAGAATTAACTAACTAGTACAAAATTAGAACTCACTAACCAGTACAAAGTAGGATAATTAACCAGTAAAAAGATTAGAACTAACTAACCAGCACAATGTAAGAACTAACTAACTAGTATAAAAGACAAGACATTTCCTCAGGGTCTCTTTAGGACTCCTGGTGTGAGGATGAGTGGGAGCTTCAGGGAGAGGACACCACTCAGACATGCTGCATGCTCGGGCTCCAGTCACTTCCTCACAGTAACAGTGATCAGTCAGTAGGTAATCACCAGTCTCAGCCAATCACAGCACAGATTAATTCAATCCTCTCTTTAATCACCTTATCCTCTCTAACCTGTGGATCTACTGTATATTAGTGCTACTAGTGTTACCCTGGTTGTAGTACAACTGTACACTAATAAAGTGTAATACAACTGCTCTGTAATAAACACTGGTTAGAGAGGTGATGTTCAGGTAGTGTGCTTGGTGTTATAATGGACTGCACATGAGTGGATACCTCCGCCATGGCCAAACAATCCTACATGTCTGGGTTATTGTCTGGATCTGCACCAAATTGAGCAAACTCAAATCAACACCATTTGTCTGAGTTGTCGTGGTTGTGGTCGTGGTCGTGGTCGTGGTCGTGGTTGTGGTCGTCGTCGCCGTCGTCGTCGTCATCGTGGTCGTGGTCGTGGTCGTGGTCGTCGTCGTCGTCGTCGTCGTCGTCGCCCCGCTACGCTCATCCGGATCCGGGTCGCGGGTTGTTCCACATCCAAAGATTGTTTCCTGAGAAACTGATGAAAATGTTTAAAAATGTCTTGCAATGTTGTGGAAACTGATGGAAATGTTCTGGATCTGCCCTTCTAACTGTATCTGCCCCAGTATTTAATGGGTTCTTCCCTGGTCCATGTCCTGTCCCTCCACCAAGTTTGGTGCAGATCAGTTCATTGCTTTTTACTGATCCAAACAAAGAGAAAACATAAGCTCCTTGGCAGAGGGAACAATACAAACAGCTGACAGATAATCTTTAGACACTGTTTGAGATATGTTTGAGCCAGATGTGATCACAGATGTGTGATCACAGATACTGATAATTAGTAAGTCATTTGTAAAAATGCAAATTTCCCATTTCTGCCATTAATTTCATATTCATGTCAATCTGAGATCAGTGTTTGCTTGTCTATTGTAGATGACGATCTACTGAGCATGTGTAGAACACGTCCCAGTAGAGTATAAAGGGAAACTATGTCACATGTCATAGCCACTTACTAACATTTAAACAGAATGTAGTAAAACTGAAAGGTGTGAAAGGTGTGTTTGTGTTTGTGTCTCCAGGTAAGGATGGCCAAGGTGAAGCAGGTGGGCTTGCTGGCAGCAGGCTGTCAGCCCTGGAACAAAGACGTGTGTGCTGCTAGTGGAGACCGCTTTGCCTACTGTGCTACTTTGGCTATATACATCTACCAGGTAAATTACCTTTGTGAGCATTTGTGTAGTAGTGGTGGTGAACCTGAGGCCTCCCTTCACCCTTCACTCATTACGGGGGTAAATCACCATGGTAACTTATGCTGAACTCCTAACCTGCTCCATCGAAGGCTCATTTCAGAGGATCAGATCAAAACCTGTCAACAGCCAAACTACTGACCAATCAAATCTCTGGAAAAACTGAGTCATAATTCCTACAGGATCCTGAGGGGAGTGATCATTACGGAGAGTTTATCACACTGAATAAATGTATAATAACTATTTTAGCTTAATTTTAATTGAACAAATATTCTTTAATCCGACAGGATTACTGACAGTGATGAAGCTCTTACTTCTTCTTCATCACTGCAGCTCAGAATAACATGATCCGACTCTGTGACCACAACTGGAAATAAAAACCAAACCTCTGATGTCTTTTAGTAGAAAAATTAGCCACACTGTGTTAATTATTTTCATGATTATAAATATAAACATTTCAGTCAGACTGACTCATCAGACATCAACTACTCCTCTCCTCTTTTCTTTCTCTCCTCTCTGCAGCAGAAACAGTCTGACTTTAACTTTAACTGTTTTATCTGCATCACATGTTCATAACAGTTTGTTCATCATCAGACTGAAGAGCGAAAATACTCAGTAAGAAACATAATGATAATTCATGCACTTATTTACAATATATCTTTAGTCTGACTTTAATAGAAATTATATTTAGACATAGAAATATTTTTTTTTTATTCCAGTCATGTGATTATATTGTTATATTTCACCTTGTTGGACATCACTTTTGGACATGGCTATAACCAAAGTTGATGACAGGTATCAGCGTTTCTTCTCATATCATTTTAAGTACCTTATTCATGGTTCTTACGATGTTGCTTAACGATAGATAGATAGATAGATAGATAGATAGATAGATAGATAGATAGATAGATAGATAGATAGATAGATTAGATAGATAGATACTTTATTTATCCCCGAGGGGAAATTCAAGTTTCCGGTAGCTCATTGGTAATAATAATAATATTATTAGTAAGAGTTGATAATAAAGAAACAAAATTAATAAATTAGTCCACTTCCTTTGGCTGAGTTGCTGTATAGCCTGATGGCAGTGGGAACAAAGGATCTCCTTTCTGACTGATAAAACATGTGCAGCATTTCACTGCAGACATCAAAGGACCTGAGCTTCCTGAGGAAAAGCTCTATCCTTCCCTCAAATGTTGACTGGCTGAAGGGTGGGCCTAGACCTCTGAAAGTCCATGACCATCTCCTTGGTCTTGGAGGTGTTCAGAAGGAGGCAGTTCTTGTTGCTCCATTCACTGAAGGCCATCGTCAGATCCCTGTACTCCTCTTCCTGCCGTTCCTGTTACGCACCACAATAGCTGTGTCATCCGAGTATTTCTGGATGTGGCAGGACTCAGAGTTGTACTTAAAGTCGGCCGTATACAGGGTGAACAGGAACGGAGCCAGAACAGTTCCCTGTGGAGCCCCAATGCTGCTCATCACTGTCCCTGAGACACAGTTACCCTACTACAGACATACTGTGGTCGTCTTGTCAGGTAATCCACAATCCAGGATGTGAAGCAGGGATCCCTTCCAGCTTGTCTTTAAGGATGGGTGGTCGGATGACGTTAAATGCACTTGAGAAATCAAAGAACATAATCCTCATGTATCCACCTGGCTCATCCAAGTAGGAATTGGCCGGTGGAGCATGTAAAGGACAGCATCATCCACTCCAATATGTTCTTTGTAGGTGAACTGTAGGGGGTCTAGTGCATATTCAACCTGTGGCCTCAGAAGGTGGAGAAGGGTCTTCATGATGTGTGACGTGAGGGCCAACGGTCTGTAGTCATTTATCTCAGCTGGTCGTCCTACTTTAGGTACCGGAACAAGACATAATGTTTTCCACAGGACCAGGACCCTCCCTGTTTGTAGACTTAAGTTAAAGATCCTCTGGAGAGGCTCAGTCCTTTCATACAATTTTGTAAAGGTCACACCCCTCACACTGTCAGTGTGATTGACATGAAATTGACCCACAAGTCCAGCTCTGTGTTCTCCACACGAAATCCTCTGGACCATAGAAGTCGTAGGTCTGATTTCTACTAAATGTTATGACCTTGAACACACTACAGGACAATGCCAGAGCTGTTTTTTGTTAATTGTCTGTCATTCTCTTGTTGTAGTTGGACCAGCAGTACAATGAATTTAAACTGAGATCCATCATGTCAGAGCACAAGAAGACCATAACAGCCATCAGCTGGTGTCCTGACAACCCAGATCTGTTTGCATCAGCCTCTGCTGACAACCTGCTCATCGTGTGGAATGTAGCAGAACAAAAGGCTGTAGCACGACTGGACAACACTAAAGGTAGATGGATGATCTACACCAGGTCATACAGACTCAGAGGAGTGTTCCCCCATCTCTGAGGTTTCACAGCGTCTCCTCTGCTTTCCCAGGAGTCCCTGCGTCTGTCAGCTGGTGCTGGAACTCAGCTGACGGAGTGGCGTTTGTCTCCCAGCGTGGACCGTTGTATATCTGGGTCTATGGAGGTCCTGACCCTGGGCTCACAGTGCACAAAGAAGCCCACTCCTTCCTGTCTGACATCTGTCTGTTCAGATGGCACCCCACCAAGAAGGGCAAACTGGTGTTTGGACACACAGATGGAAGTTTGTCTGTGTTTCAGCCAGGTACAGATGGACACACTCAAATGTGACCCACAGCACAGTCATCACCTCACACTCCAACTATAACATGTATAGTAACATGGGAAGTATTCAGACCCCTTCACTTTGTTAAGATGTAGATTTCATTTAAAATGGATAAAAGTGACATGTTTGTCCATCAGTCTACTCTCACTAATACACAAACATGATTTAGAAATTCATTAAAAGTCAAAATCTGAATCTCTGATTAACTAAAGTCTTCAAACTCTTCACTGCAGCTCCAAATTGTGATGAGCTGCTTCTTGTTTACTTTAGTTATCACTGAGATGAGTCTAGACCTGGACTTAAGTCCACCTGTGGTGAACTGAGCTGATTGGACAGAGTTCAGAAAGACACACACCTGTGTGTATCAGGTCCCACAGTTCACCTGCAGGTCAGGACAGAGACCATAAAGTCCAGTGAAGTCTCTGTAGACCTCTGTGATCAAACTGTGGTGAGACAGAGGTCAGGACACAAAGGTCTGAGTGTTCCCAGGAGAACCGTGGGAACAAAAACTGGAACCAGGACTCTTCTAGAGCTGGTGTTCAGACAAACTGAGGGAGCAGGTCAGAGGGACCTGGGTCAGGGAGGAGCTTCAGAAGTCCCTGCAGAGATGGAGAAGCTGCTGGAAAGACGAGCATCAATCAGGTTATTATGGTACAGAGACGAGACAGACACTGAGAGTCAAAGACATATGAAGCTGCTGCAGTCTGACCTGCAAACCTTAAAGACTCTGAGACCAGGAGGAACCAGACTCCCTGGACTCCAAACACCAGGTCCTGCTCAGCACCTGGACAGCACCATCCCTACAGTGAAGCATGGGGGACAGCATCATGCTGTGGGAGCTTCTCAGCAGCAGGGACAGGGAGACTGGTCAGACCTGATGCTGGTTGAATGAGACAAATGCAGAGAGGTCCTTGAAGAAAACCTGATCCAGAGTCCAGGAGACCTGAGACTGGAGTGACGGTTCACCTCTCAGCTCCACAGTGACCTGAAGCACAGCCAAGACAACACTGGAGAGTCTTCAGGACCAGTCTCTGACTGTCCCTGAGTGTCCCAGCCAAAGTCCAGACCTGAACCCCATAGACCTGTGAAGAGACCTGAAGAGAACTGTTCACAGACACTTCCTGTCCAGTCTGAGTCTGAGTCAGGAAGACTGAGATAAACTGACCAGATCCAGGTTCAGAGCCTGTAGAAACTCAAGACTGAAGCTGGAACTACTGCTGAAGGGGGTCCTACAAAGAACTAATGTTTCTGAAGGATCATGATGTCATGATGGATTATTGAGTGAAGACTGATGAAAAATTACAGTTTTATCCATTCAGATTTAAATCTACAACAGAATAAAGTGAAGGGTCTGAATATTTCCTGGAACTGCTGAACCTGTCGACCTCCTCCTCACATTCCCTCAGCAGAGTCCGGTACCTGTAAACACACCTTTAACCCTGTACCTGTAAACACACCTGTAAACATGTACCTGTAAACACACCTTCATTAACCTCTGTCTCATCTGTTCAGGGAGTAAAAGCCAAAAGCATGTGCTGCGTCCAGAGTCTCTGGAGGGGACAGATGAAGAGGACCCAGTGAGTGCTCTGGAGTGGGATCCTCTCTCCACTGACTATTTACTAGGTCAGACACAAAACTAACCACATGACCAGGACTTATCTTAAGAGATGTGAATTTTAAAAACACAACAATGTAGCTGTTTAGAATACAGTTACTGCCAGTGTTTGACACACTGACATATAGATATTGATATGTAGACGTGTTCTCTCTCTCCCAGTGTCTAACCTCCATAATGGGATCAGGCTGGTGGACAGTGAGGCCTTGAACTGCATTACATCCTTCTGCTTCCCCTCAGCTGCTGCATCAGTTCAGTGTCTGGCCTGGGTCCCCTCTGCACCGGGCATGTTCATTACTGGAGGTAAATGTGTATGTGTGTGTGTGTGTGTGTGTGATCTGGTCCCCTCTGCCTCAGTGTGTTGATGACTGCAGGTCAGATTTACTTGTCAGTCAGTTGGTGGGTATCACATGCTAGACGGCGGGCCAGAACATAATCAATTACATTAATTTAAGATATTGATAAAAATGCAACTGGAATGTCCTTTGTTGCTGTTCACATATGTGGCATTGTGGCCACAGTCACAGATAAGGGTAGAATCGCAATCCACGATCTATTTATTCGATCGATTTATTGTGAAAGTCCTGACTGGAAGTTGTGATTCCTATCTTTCCGCTGCTTTGACGCTTTTTTCAAACGTTTGTAAGCTCGTCCACCCGAAGTCACATTTTATACTGACTGATTTACTTTTTTCATATCACACATTGTATGTCCGCTCCGTCAGAGGTTTGTCAAGCAAGCAAAAGAACCTTTGGAACTTCCTTTGAGAACTTTTCAGAATAAAGCTCACAATAGCTTGAAATAAAAAAAGGAAATTCTCGCACTTTTATTTTCTAGGCAAAATCACTATAGAGGAAGTGATTCTGCAGGTAAATGTTGCTGCTCAGACAGAGATCTATTTTAGCAAAGGAGCTCTTTTTTTTTATTTAACAAAATCATATTCAAATAATATCAAAATAATCTGGCGGGCCAGATATTATATCTGGCAGTTTTGGGTTGCGGGCCACCAGTTGCTGACCACTGCTGTAGATGTACTGCTCAGGACACAAACATTCAGCACATCTTCTCTATGACAGAACTTGTGAGTCCAGCTGGTTGTGTTTGTCTCTGTCAGACTCTCAGGTCGGGGTGTTGAGGGTGTGGAATGTGTCCCGGTCTACTCCTCTGGACAGCTTCAAACTGAAGAAGACTGGATTTCATGCTTTACATGTCCTCAACTCTCCTCTCTCCAAGAAGGGTAAACGTCACAAGCTGATGTGGTGTGTGTTGTGTTTGTGTCAGACCTGAGCTCAGGACAGCTGCATGTGTCAGCGATGAAGCAGCCAATCAGACGCTGAGCAGCAGCTCTTCTCTCAGCTGACTGACTCAGCAGCTTTGTTCAGAGATGTCAGGATGTTCTTCCTCTCTCTCCACAGCTCCCAGCTCCAGTTCTCCCAGTAAGAGTCAGCACACCAGTTCCACCAGTGAGGCAGTACCCCCCCCAACCCTGTCCCAGAACCGCTCCTTCTCTCTGCCCCCCGGCCACGCTGTGTGCTGCTTCATGGATGGAGGAGTGGGGCTCTATGACATGGGGGCCAAGAAGTGGGACTTCCTGCGGGACTTGGTATTTTATCCTTTGTAGATTCAACAGTCTGAACACACACACTAACCTGCTCACACACTCTCACACACACACACACTGACACAGGTCCAGACAAGACCACTGCAGACCTGATGACCTGTCTCTGTTGCGGTTCTAGGGTCATGTGGAGACCATCTTTGACTGTAAGTTTAAACCAGATGACCCTAACCTTCTGGCCACGGCAAGTTTTGATGGAACCATCAAGATCTGGGACACAAACACCCTCACAGCTGTTTACACCTCCCCTGGCAACGAGGGGGTGGTCTACTCCCTGTCCTGGGCTCCAGGTACCATAACACATACATACTCTCCCAGGATGTGGACAATAAACACACACTGTAGGTTACTCAAACACACAGAGACATGAACACAACATAGACACACAGGACAGCTACACACACACAGACACACACACACACACACACACACACACACACACACACACACACACACACACACACACAATACTCAGTTACAGTTTTTTCAGTTGCTAACATGCATTTGTCAAAACTGAAGTCACATTGTCAAAACTCTTCTAAAAGTCTATGTCGACCAAACTGTGAATCGTTTTTCATTGCTGTAACACAAAATGCATTCAGTGACCACATTTTCCAAAATCCATGAACTCTTTTCTCATTCATACTCCACCACCAGCAAAACACTATATTTGCAGCGCATTTTTCAAATGCTAACACGCCGTTTTCAAAATTGTTAAAAACACATGCAGAACAGGTTGATGGCAAATTTCATGCATTTCTGCAGGTACCATATTGAAATATATAGAAAATCTTACCTGAATATTTACAATAAAATGAAATAATAATCATTCCAAACACAGCTGATTGCAATTTCAATTTGAATGCATTTTGTAAAATGAAAAATAAATTACTGTATGCATATATAGTTCTATATACATAAAAAAAAGGATATTTCTGATTCATTCTTGTTACATATACTTTAGTACAGTCAATAAAGTGAAAAGGTGTTATTCTTATTCTATAATGAATGTTGGGCCTTGGTACTTAACTTCATATGCGGGCACCATTATGTTGAGGCGTCAGTTTCTATTATAAATTAAGAAAATATGAATATTGAAAATATTAAATAACTTCAAAAATAATGAAGGGTTTTGACAATGTGACTTCAGTTTTGTCCAATGCATGTGAGCAGTCAAAAAAAACTGTTATCTGGAACACTGATTGATAATTAACTTAATAACTATAAACAAAGAGATTGGCAATACTCACACTTGTGCAACATTAAACACACCAGAAGTTATACTTAAAGACATCTATTTACAATGTAACAAAGTATAAACACACAATGTCTAATCTAAAGTATATACAGGCGTGTGTGTGTGTGTGTGTGTGTATGTGTGTGTGTGTGGGACAGAGACAAAGGCAATATGGCCGATTCAAAATGGTCACTGTGACCACATGGCCTGAACATAAAAACAAGATGGTGGTAAACAAAGAAACTATTCAAAATGGCCACTGAGACCACACGGTGAGTGGGGGAGGGAGAGAGTGAATTTCTTTGTTAGCCTAGTTCGTGTGGTCTGAAGTACCAAATTAACTGTGTGACTAACCACAACCTAAGCAAACATTACAATCATCAAACTAAATGGATACATTAACCAAACATGTACATGTACATTAACAAAGATTAAGAGTCCTGTGCTTAGCTGTGGAGTGCTTTGCTGTGCTAGGTTGAGTTAGTGTCAGTCAATGTTGTGTCAAGTGGTCGAAGTGGAACAAAGAGAGGGTCCTTTTCAGTGTTCTAGTAAAGTCCAGTGAGTTTTTATTACTTCCTGATGGAGTGAAGTCATGCCTGGCTGCGTCACTTTTGTGTTGCAGAGAGGTTAGCTGGTTTCCTCTTTGTTCTTCTCACAGAGTTAGCTGTTGCTTGCTAACTCTGCTGTGGCTCCTGTTGCTTTGGAAATCGTGTTGTAGCCGCTGATTCTAAATAAAACTTGGTTCAATCTCAGTTAATCCTAAACAGGTCGCTGCTGTTGAGGAGAAGAGTGTTTAGCCTGCTGTGAGTAGGGCGGCAAGAGAGCTGTTTTTTTAGGTAGCAGGGCTGGTCTGGGCTGGGAGCCTTGTGGCTACTTGAAGAGCCAAGAGGGAAGAGGTGCTGTTCCTGGGGATCTGGGTCTGGGAATGCCCTGACCCCTGAGAAACCCAGAGGGTTTTGCCTGGTGACACCCTGGGGGGTCACATGTCACACCCTGGTGGGGTCACATGTCACACATTGACCAACACTCACTGGTCAGTAAGGTCCCTGGGGGAGGGTCGTCCCCAGGTGTGAACAGTGAGGAATTGTGGGAAAATTAGCTATTTAAGTGGTCTACCATTTTGAATAGTAAGTCCCAACATGAAATACTGATTTATGTGAAAAATGATTAAAACTTCAAAGATGAAAGTTAATAATTTATGTGATGCTCCCTGTTGCTAGTGCTTTTAAGTCAATGAGTTATGAGTGACAGTGGATGCTTTCTGAGTGAGGATTGTTGCCAATGTTATGGTTGAATGAGCTTATTTTGAGATATGTATAAGGTGTTTTGGTGGTTTGAGTCAGTTTTGGAGGTGAGATTAACTGTTTGGCCAAGATGCATGTTGGTAATGCATGCTGGGGGCTTCAGTATTGAGTGATGCTTGTTAGCAATTGAAAAACACTGTAAATGGTATCAAGGACCAACAGTCCTATCAAGATGAAGTGTGTCATCTGTTCATGTGTGGGTTGTTAACCTCTCTGTGTGTGTCTGTATGTGTGTGTTTCTCTCTCTGTGTTTCTTTGTGTCTCTGTGTTTCTGTCTCTGTGTGTTTCTGTCACTGTGTGTCACTGTCTCTGTGTGTTTCTTTGTGTCTCTGTGTTTCTGTCACTGTGTGTCTCTGTCTCTGTGTGTCTGTCTGTGTGTGTGTCTCTGTCTGTGTGTGTCTCTGTGTATCTGCGTGTTTGTCTCTGTGTCTGTGTATGTTTGTGTGTATCTGTGTGTTTGTCTTTGTGTCTCTGTGTGTGTCTCTGTGTGTCTTTGTGTATCTCTGTGTTTGTCTCTGTGTCTGTGTGTCTCTGTGCGTGTCTGTGTGTCTCTCTGTATGTGTGTGTCTGTCTCTGACTGTGTGTCTCTGTGTCTGTCTGTGTGTGTGTCTGTCTCTGACTGTATGTCTCCGTATGTCTGTCTCTGTCTGTTTGTGTGTCTGTGTGTGTCTCTGTGTGCGTCTCTGTTTGTGTATGTGTGTCTGTGTGTGTCTCTGTGTCTGTGTGTGTCTGTCTCTGTGTGTGTCTCTGTGTGTGTATGTGTGTCTTTGTGTGTCTGTCTCTGTCTGTGTGTGTCTTTATGTCTCTGTGTGTGTCTGTATGTCTCTCTTGAAGGAGACCTGAACTGCATTGCCGGGGCTACATCTCGTAGCGGAGCGTTCATCTGGGATGTGAGGAAGGGAAAGATCATCACTCGCTTCAATGAGGTAACTGAAGGGTTTAGATTGAAGCTGTGGATCAGTCATTATGAGAATCACCAGTGTCTAAACCTTGTATATGTCTGGACCACCTCTGGTCAAATCCTGATTTTATAACCATGACGTCATCTGACAAAATCACCAAGCACATAAATGAAAAACAAAGACTGAGCTGTGATTTCAGCTGTATTTATTGTACAATGATCACTCAGAGAGAAAGTTAGATGACACAGTGTCTCTCACTCAGCTCACAGCCTCCGTCTGGGAGCCACAATAGTTTAGTCTTTATTTACTTCAACTCCAGAACGTAACGGACTTTGATTAAAGGCTGGTCTTTATGTCTAACTCCCTCTGTTTGATATGTAGAGTTGGTCATAGTCGTTAGTATGAAGCCTCGTTACCAATGACTTCTCTCTCTCCCTCCCTCTCTCCTGCTCTCTCTGCTCAGTGTGTCTTATGTTTAGTTATTCCTCTTCCTCCTTTAGTAATAATGATACATGTAATGAAAATAGTTTATTTGCTGTAATGGAGGCGAGGCTCAGTGTGTTGGAAGTGCTCCTCCTCTTCCCTGCAGTTCCACAGCATCTATACACAGTCCAGACATGAACCAGGTTTATACCCAGTCTGTTTGAAAAAAAGTCTCTTAATTTAGAGACAGTAAGCTAAGTTTTCAACACTGCAGCTGTAAACACCCCCCTAAAAGAACCTGTTTGATCCAGAAACTCCAACTCAGTGACATGGAAATATGATCAGTCAGTCAGGGACATTGCAGATCATAGGGTTGGCCCTGCTGTCAAAAACCGTCTCCTCTTCATCATCATTATTATTCTCTCCTGTTGGTAAACAGCTGTTTACAGAGTTGCAGGATGGTATGATGATGTCTCAGTGCCTCCTCTCTGTCCTCCCTCAGCACGGGAAGAATGGGATCTTCTGTATTTCCTGGAGCCATAAAGACTCGAAGAGGATTGCCACCTGTAGTGGAGATGGGTTCTGGTGAGGTGGAGTTTCTTCTTTTATCAAAGTCTTGTCAAATTTGTTCCTATCAGCCACTCTTACCTGTTTTCTATTGTTTCATAGTATCATTCGGACCATTGATGGTAAAATCCTGCACAAGTACAAACATCCTGCTGCTGTGTTTGGTTGTGACTGGAGCCAGAACAACAAGTAAGATCTCACCTATCCACAGTCACCTGACCAAACACTCCTGTCCACACTCTCCCGTCCACAATCACCTGACCACAGTCACCTCTCCACACTCATCTGACCACAGTCACCTGTTCACAGTTATCTGACCACACTCACCTGTCCAGTCACCTGATCACAGTCACCTTTCCACAGTTATCTGACCACACTCACCTGTCCAGTCACCCGACCACAGCCACCTTACCACAGTCCCTTGGCCACACTCAACTGTCCACAGTCCTCTGACCACACTCACCAGTCCACACTCACCTGTCCACACTCACCTGAACACTCACCTGTCCACACTCACCTGACCACACTCACCTGTCCACACTCACCTGATCACAGTCACCTGATCACAGTCACCTGATCACAGTCATCTGACCACACTCACTTGAACACTCACCTGTCCACACTCACCTGATCACAGTCATCTGACCACACTCACTTGACACTGCAGCTGTGTCACGGACCTCATAATTACTGCTTTAATTAATGATCATTTATACACAGATTAAAAAAGAATTATATAAAGCAGCATTAAAAGAGATAGAGACTGGTTCAGGTGAAGCAGGACACAAGAAAACATCTGTCTTTTGTTTATGTCTAACATCTGTCTCTGTGAGGACACATGGAGGACAAAGAGAGTTGTTCCTGTCTCATCTCCTATCTCCTGTCTCCTGTCTCTGTAGGGACATGATAGCGACAGGCTGTGAGGACAAAAACGTGCGGGTCTACTACTTGGCTACCAGCTCTGACCAGCCACTGAAGGTCTTCACCGGACACCTGGCTAAGGTGTTCCATGTCCGCTGGTCTCCACTCAGAGAGGGTATCCTGTGTTCTGGATCAGACGACGGGTTAGGACCTTCACACAGACCTCAGTGTCCTACACACTGTTCACAATGTTCACCCACACAGACAACACAGTTCAGAGGGGACCCAGACTCAGGTGAACCAGACATAGGTGAATGAGACTCAGGTGAACCAGACTAAGGTGATCCAGACACAGGGGATCCAGACTGAGGTAGTAGAACCTCATGGAGAAAGTGAGGGACATGAGGAGGAACAGAGACACAGACTGAATACTCTACTGAGGGGGAGATGAACATAAAAAAGGGAAAACACATGAGTTCAAGAAGCAAAACAACTATCAACACAACAGAAAAGAGATAAATAAATAAAACAGGAAGCACTACAAACAGTCAAGGAGGGTCAGATGAATCAGTTTCACTGCAGCAACAAATGATTCAGAACATAGACATGAGTCAAATTAAAACAATTAGTCTAAAGAGTGTGAATTATAAGATGACACTGTTTTAACATTAATGTTTCAGTCCCAGAGTAAATGTAATGTAAAAAATGTCTTATCTAAGCAACATCACATGAGAGGGAGTGATGTTGTACTGCATATCAGCAAGGCTGGGATTTGGTCACAGGTAGGAGGTGGCAGGTCTACACTAGCTTGCTACTTTGTCTACATGTTACCTCAGGTGTACCTCAGAAGTATCCAGGCTTCTTCCCTTCATCCTCTTCTGATGACCACACATAATTTAATTCAAACGTTATTTTTGGAAATACATTCATCTTTGTGGTGCTAACTTCTTGGTCTTGGTTACAACCAACTGTTGTATAATGTGTTATAATAATCTAATTAACAAAGTGTCTAATTACTGATTACTAATAACTAAATTGAAATGACAGGATCAGAGCTTGTGATCACTCTTTGAATTGACTGTTGATCCAAACAACTATCAACTCTAAATTATTGAGTTATGTCAGATTAAATGTTTGTTCCCATCAGTAAGATGACAGGCTGGGGGTGTTCCATCAACGTCGCGAAGGAAATTTGCGCTTACTTGAAAAAGCCCTGTTAGAATTAACACTGACTTTCACTTAAGCTCAAACCGTTCCATTAACAGGATTTAGCCATGTCTAGTCGTTAACGTTAACGCAAACCAGTCTTGAACAAGCTGCATTATGCGCGCACACGGAGTTTACGAGCAGAACAGACAGGCGAGTGTCAAAAGAAAATCATGTCACAGAAAGAAGGGAAAACAAGAGTCGTCTTCTTCTCAGCAGCGGAGCAAATCCTGCATTAGGGTTACCACGCGTCCTGTATGATGCGTGAATAATGTAATGTCAAGTAAAACCCAACCAGTTTTAGCTACAAGTGGATTGGAGCAATAGATCAGAATAAAAGCAATGATTTAGTTAATTGTATATTGCCAACTGTAGCCTATATTATGGTCTATATTAGCCTATATTACACAGTAGCCAATGTAGGTAACAAGGCAATAATCAGCAGATTGATCATGCTAATATTCCATCCATTCACTTAGATTTGGAGCTGAGGGTTAAGACTCATAAACATACAGCTACACATTTAAAGAGAAAATGTGTTTTTTTTTCTAGCTGAGGAAAAAAAGTTCTATCCTTTTGTATTTAAGACCCAAATCTAATCTAAATCTAATGACTCCTTTCGTAACAGCTGTAGGGTTGAACCATCTATATCAATCACACTGTTAAGCACAACCTAAGTGAAAAAAGTGATCATATGCGCTCTGCCAGGTGAGCTACCGGAGCGCTGTAATAATGATTCCACCTGAGGAAGGTAAGCATAGCACAGGGTTTGCTCCGTTGCTGAGAAGAATACGGCTCATGTTTTCTCTTCTTTCTGTGACATGATTTTCTTTTCGACAATCGACTGTTCTGGTCTGCTTGTATAGTTCATGTGCACTAATAATGCAAGCTTGTTCAAGCCTGGTTTGCATCAGTGTTGCCGGCAGGGCTATATTTCATAGTACGCACATAACCGTCTGTCCGCTACCTTTAGGTTTCCCACACACGCGCACGTCTACTCATCGAGCGAGTGAGCAAGAAAGCAAGAGAGAGAGAGAGAGAGAGAGAGAGAGAGAGAGAGAGAGAGAGAGAGATTCCCTCATCTGTTGATCATCAATAATAATGATTTATTTCATGTGAATATACCTGCAAGGCCTGGACTGTAATGAATCTCTGTGTCTGCAGCACTGTTCGTATATGGGACTACACACAGGACGCATGTATCAATGTGCTGAGTGGTCACACAGCTCCGGTCAGAGGCCTGATGTGGAACACAGAGGTTCCCTACCTGCTCATCTCAGGTAAGCCCACAAACTGTCCTTCTATCAGCTGTGTCGTGGTCAGTGTGTTGTCAGTGTCTGTTACAAAGCTGCAAAGCAGAGACAGCAGAGGAGGTGTGGAGGAGAACCAGGTGGATGTGAAGTGTCAGTGAGATCGTCATCACTATCCGCTGCTGATGAGGAGTCCAGGTGTGAAACACCTCTGTGTAGTTCGGGACTGTTATCTGTGTAAAATGAATTAGACAGAGAATTGTAAAATGACAGCATCATGACTCCTACAGATGCCATCAGGGACAGCTGACGGTGAAAATGATGAAACATGGCTCTGTAGGAGCATCTAGTGGCAGCTGTAAGAAACTACAACAACATCAGGAAACACTTGTCTCCGCTGAAACCCTCAGTGTCTCTCAGTCAGTTATATTTTTATATCATTTACAGCTGATGTAGTTGTTCAGAAAAGACCTGAGACTGCAGATTAAAGCAGAGTTTATACACACACACACACAACAGGAGGCAAATACATGTATATACTGGACTGTGTACGATGCTGTCAGTTGTCGTGTTGAAGTAACATGTTGTGTGATGTTGTAGGTTCTTGGGATTACACAATCAGAGTGTGGGACACGAGAGACGGCACATGTCTGGACACAGCCTACGACCACGGAGCTGATGTGTATGGTGAGAGTCACAGAACGACCTGCTGCAGAAACATGATGCTGTGGAGGACAGTGAGAGAAGAGAGAGCTTCTTCACTGAGAATTAAAGATGATGTCAACTCACATCACATACACACTGTAAACTCATAAAGACACTGGATCACAATCAGTTAGCTTAGAGGACAGACATTACACTGAACATGTGGTTTGTCACTGTGAACAACACAAGCTTAATGGAAACTGCCATTCAGACCACCGCTGACTCTACTGTATACAGTATATAGACTGTATATAGTCTACTGTATATATCTCTGTATATTTTACCCAGAATTCAGTTGAGCATGAACACATGGCTGCATTAATAAATACTCTTATCCGCTGCTCCCTCTGTGCGAAATGTTCAGGTCCTACATGCTTGTGTGTGTGTGTGTGTGTGTGTGTGTGTTTACAGGTTTGACATGTCACCACAATCGTCCGTTCACCATGGCCAGCTGCAGCAGAGACAGCACGGTGAGGCTGTGGTCTCTCACTCCACTCATCTCTCCCCTGCTGCTGAACATCCTCACCGACCAGCCGTGGGAGAAGATCATAGGAAACACAGGTGAGAGTAGACTAATGTCTTCTGTTCTCCGGTGTGTTGTTCTACGTGCTAATCTACCTGTGGTGGTTGTGTGTCTGCAGACACAGCTATGGTTCCTGGTTCTCCTCCACTGCTCTGTGGTAAAGTGTCTCGAGACGTCAAACAGGAGCTGGACAAGCTGAGCTCAGACATCAGGGCCAAGAAGTTGCGTTGGTTCTCTGAGTGCTTCTTGGTAACTACACTTTGAATGCTGATTGGCCAGTGGTGATGTTGTGTCATAACATGACCCCTAATTCAGTGATAACTTTATACTGGCCTGTCACAGTTCTGAGTTTAAGATCAGACTAGATCTCCTCGTCCTCCTCCGGTGCAGGGAAATCTACCATGGTCACTACTCAGCTGATGTGTCCTGTTCAGTGTCATATTATTCATGATTATAAATCAAGAAATCAGTTTACAAAAGTATAAAACTCAAACTCTTCTTTGTTAAGTCTCTGACTGTTGCTGGGACAACATGTGTTTTATATAAATTTATAGTTGATTAAAAGGATCAGAGGCTGCAGGACAGTGAAGAGGTGTGTTCCAGCTAACATCCACAGCTCTCTGCTCCACACCTTCACTTCATGTGTACTGACTGAAAACCAAACACTGATTAGACAAGAAAAGGCCTCAGTGCAGCTTCTCATGTGAACAGTGCTCCACTTTTTATTTGTGTTGAGGTTGAAGTCAGTGAGAGGAGAGCTCTGTGCTGTTACACTGACACACAAACACATTTTAAAGGTCCACATAGTATAAAGGTAGATGTCCATGTGTTTGATTATAAAGCAGGTCGAGGTTCTATATTAATACTGTGAAAGTATCAAAGCATCAGTCCACAGAGAAATGCACACAGCCTGTATTCAGAAACTGAGCCTTAAAACTAGATCTGTTACTAGAGCTCCAGAGAGAACCTTGAGAGAGGAGATGTGAAACTACATTGAGATGGTTTTTGGTTCTTAAGACCACAAATATATCTTCTATCTTATCAACACTTCAAATATAGAGTGTTTTTCTTCACTCTCTGCATGTGGAGCACGGCCTCCACAACAACAGCACAGAAAAAATGCAAGTAACACATTTGTAGTAATGATATATGTACACATCAGACTGACAGAAGCATGTAACGGCTTTTAACAAGCTGTATCACCTTTCAGATTCAGTCCAACCTTTTGTTTCAGGTCCTGCAAACACATATTTTTGTAGACTGATTCATAAAGGGCTGAACATTTTTTTCTTTCTGTGAGTGAGCATGCTGTCCTGTGTCCTGTGCCAGCCTCCAGGAGGCAGCAGTAACCTGTGGGACCTGGTGTCAGTCATTAACGGTCAGGACGACTCACTGCTTCCAGCCAGCTACAGCAAAGGAGTGATGCACATGAAGCACCTGCTCAAGTTTAAGACAGTAAGTCCCTCTTACTTCCAGAGTCTCCATTAGCAACAGAAAAGTCTTCAAGCTCCTTTGCCAAATGAGAACAGCCAATCAAATGGCTGGATGACAGACCCAGAGGTGTGTACTTAATTCAAGGAGAAGTAAACACATACAGCAGTTTCTGCCTCTGAATATTCTTAGAAACAATGCTGTTAGCCGCAAAAAAGAAAAATGCGTAGCCTGCTAATGCTAATGCTAATGGTTTATACAGTCAGGTACAGGAACAGCTGACACCATCACAAAGAGCCATTATCTTAATGTTAATTGTGTTTCTCCCTACATGACACCAGATCTTCTTTTATCATTCAAACTGTATGTATCTGGATAAACTTCATTAATCCAAGAAAGCTCTTGAACAATTGGATACATCGAACCGCTACATAGCTAATGTTAGCATTAACAGCTGTTCACCATCAAACTTCAGTCCTTTACTCACCAGCTGCTGTCTCCATAGGTGGAGAGAAATACCAATGTTAATGTAGGAGCCATATATTGGTTCTGATCGTTTATTTTGTGTTTGATTAGTTTTGTCTTGTTGCCATGGGGATATGCAGTGTTTGGGGTCACGTGAGCACCGTCGTTGACAGCCGGTAGGTTATATCATAACCTGCTTCACCTGCACTGGGAGAGTGAGGCGAGTCTAGGTAGCCGTAATTTTTGTTGACCGCTTTTACCATCGCTTTTGTTCTTTCGTTTGCTTGGATACACGTACGCCAAGTGTACACATTTAACATCAAATGGGCGCGTGTAAAGCCGCTGTATTATCCGATTGAAATATTAAAACCTCCGAAACTTCTCTGGACTCAGTGTGCTTCTCTGAAACAGCAGCAGCGTGTCATACAAATATACATGACCTATTCTGCCTCACAAGCGACTTTCTAAGGTACTAGAAAGCCGCAATATTTGTCAACAAAAAAGGCATCAATTAATAAAGTGATCGCTTGCAGCACAAAGCAATCTGCAGGACGCACAGCGCAGCGGACCTAAATAAAGTAAGACAAAGCGCACGTCATACATCTGTCAAGGAGGACAGGTAAACTAAGCTCACCTGTGCATGTATGTGTGCGGTGAAGAAATCCAGATTGCATCAATGTCGAAGTGCCTCTGTTTGGAAAAGTCGAATGAATGAATGCTGGTCGGATAAGCGAAGTTGGCGTCTGCACTTTGATGCTGATATGCAAAGCTTTTTGATGTTGCATGGAGGAACGCTGATGCTGCTTTGTTGAAATGAAATGTCCTGATTTGCTGTGCATTGTGGATGGATTTAAATGTCACAGTTCACTGAAAACTGAATGAAAAAGTTATAAAATGAGTCAAACAAATGACTCGTGCTCTGACATGGAGTCTGGGAAACAAAGGGAGAGGAAACTCACTGAAAAGGGTTTGTTGAATAAGATTGAAAACCTGCAAAATAAACGCAAACGTGATGTTGATAAAATCAAAGGTTTAATACCAAAAATGAAAGGGCTCATGAAACAAAGAGAAAATGTGTTGGATGTGAAGCAATGTTTGGAGAATTTAAACACACTGTGTGAAAATGCCACAGCCTCACACAATGAACTGTTGCCTCTATTCCCTGAGGGGGAACTAATCAACCAAAAGGAATGGTTTTCAAGCATTATGAATTACAGCAATACATTTCAAAAGGACACTCAAAATTGGATTGATGAAACTGGACAAAAAATCTCTCAGGAGCAACAGGATTCAGCAGAAATTCAATTACAACAAAAGAACGAACCAAGTCAAATTGAGGATGGCATTAATCCAAATGACAGTGTTTCAAACATTGGAAGCCACAAAACATCTCAGTCACAAGGCTCTTCAACCTCTTCTGCACGTTTAAAGGCCGAAGCTGAGCTGGCAGCCTTAAGTATGAGGCACAAATTATTAAAGGAAAAGCATGCTTTGGAAGAAGAGGAGCAACGCCTGCGCAAAAGGAAAGAAGAGCGCCAACTGAGCACTGAGATTGCTGAAAAAATGGCAAAACTTGAAATTCTCAAAATACAAAGCACAACAAGTGGAAAACGGACATCAAAGGTCTCAGATGGAATGAAAACATATTTGGAAAAGGCACAAGCACAGCAGTTACTTAATGTCAATGCAGATGAATTTATTCCAAAACAAACTGAAGCAACCACAAATCCAAATATAACCTCATATGAACAAAACCAAATGCAATTTCATATGAACCCCCTAATCAACATACATGAATCATATGAACAACTAGGAGTTAACACAGTGGGTCTGGAACCCAAAGAGGAAGTTCTTGGCATCATGAGGAAACAAAATGAGATAACAACGTTGCCAATACAACAGCAAAGCCTTTCAGCTCTACCTAAGAGAGAGATCCCAATTTATGACGGTGATCCATTGAAATACCACACATTCATCAGAGCCTTTGAGAACGGAGTCGAGAGGAACACAACTAACAGCTGCGATCGCTTATATTTTTTGGAACAACACACAAAGGGTCATGCTAAGGAGCTTGTAAGAAGCTGTCAACACATACATCCAGAACGAGGATATACAAAAGCCAAAGCTTTATTAAAGGAGCAGTTCGGGAACGAACAAAAGGTCGCCTCTGCTTACCTGGATAAAGCCCTCTCATGGCCTCCAATTAAAGCAGAGGATGTGAAGGTTCTGCAGGACTACAGTCTCTTCCTTAGAGGCTGCTGTAATGCCATGGAGGATGTACAATATCTTTCAGACATGGATATGCCTTCCAACATGTTGAGCATCATTAAAAAGCTGCCTTACAAACTTAGAGATAGGTGGAGGAACCATGCCTGTGAGCTACAGGAACGACATAACCGGAGAGTTAAGTTCACAGATATTGCTAACTTCATTGAAAGACAGGTGAAAATTTTGACAGATCCTGTGTTTGGCAATATACAAGACTCTCAATCAATAATCATAAGTAACAGAATAAACAAACCCAAGTCACAGTTTCGTCCTGGACACAAGGGGAGCAGTTTTGCTACCAATGTAAGCCCTGTGGAGAACAAATATCAGTCTGTAAGGAAAGAAAAGGAAATCAAACAAACAGGAAGGAAAGCATGCATCTGCTGTGGAGGAGGACACACATTAGATGTATGTGTACAGATGGGAAAAATGGTTCATGAGAAGAAGATAGGCTTCTTGAAGGAAAATGGCATCTGTTTTGGTTGTTTGTGCACAGGGCACATCAGTAGAGATTGCCGTAAAAGGATTTCCTGCTCTAAATGTAGCCTTAGACATTCCACTGTACTTCATAAGGAACCTGTTAAAGATTCTGAGCAGATGGAGAGGAGCCCAGGGCCGCATGTTGACAACACACTGGTGTCAAGTGGTCTTACAGGGGCTGGAGATCAGGACTGCAAACTGCCCATTGTTCCGGTCCAGGTTAAATCTAAGAAGGGAACCAAAACTGTCATCACTTACGCTTTCTTGGACCAGGTGAGTACGGCTGTGTTTTGCACTGAGAGCTTAATGCACAAGCTCCACCTCACAGGGAGGAATGGACGCATTCTCCTTCGAACCATGGGCCAGGAGAAAGTCGTAAGCAGCAACATCGTGTCAGGATTGGAGGTTGCAGCACTGGAGGGGGACAATTTTCTTGAGCTTCCAAGAGTTTACACGCAAGAGTCCATGCCTGTGAACAGAGGAAATATTCCCACGGAAAGGGATATTGAACAATGGTCACATCTGAAACACATTCGCTTACCTCAGATTGATGCAGGAATTGAGCTACTTATAGGTACCAATGTTCCTAAAGCACTGGAACCACTGGAAGTGGTGTGTAGCGTAAATGATGGACCATATGCGATCCGAACTTTGCTGGGCTGGACTGTCAATGGTCCACTGACAGGTAGCAGTGGAGAGACCGTTAAGTGGGAGCATCCTCAAATAACTGTCAACAGAGTTGCAGTCGTGAACCTGGATGACCTCTGGCAACAACAATTTAAGAATGATTTCCCTGAAAGCAGTATTGAGGAGCAACCAGGAATGTCAAGGGAGGATCAAAGGTTCTTGGAGTTTGTTAACAACACAGTGAAACAGGTGGAAGAGCATTACCAGATTGCGTTACCTTTAAGGAACAGGGACGTCAGCATGCCAAACAACAGGAGAGTTGTTGAACAGCGCCTGTGTTATTTGAAAAGGAGGTTTCAGAAGGACTCAATATTTCATACCGAGTATAACACCTTCATAAATGACCTTCTGGCTAAAGGCTATGCAGAAAAGGTGCCCGAAGAAGAGTTGGATCGTGGCGATGGGAAAGTATGGTACATACCACACCACGGAGTCTACCATCCCACTAAAAGAAAGATCAGAGCTGTGTTTGACTGTGGAGCAAGATATCAAGGAACATCACTAAATGCTCAGCTTCTACAGGGCCCTGATCTTACCAGTTCCCTGATTGGAGTGGTGACTCGGTTTAGGAAGAAATCAGTTGTGATTATGGCCGATATAGAATCAATGTTCCATCAGGTTCAAGTCCCTCCTGATGACAGAGACCTCCTCAGGTTCCTCTGGTGGCCAAAGGGGGATACGCAGCAGCTACCCATTGAGCATCGGATGAAGGTGCACTTGTTTGGGGCGACATCATCTCCCAGTTGTGCTAACTTCGCCCTCAGAAAGTGTGCAGAGGACCACGGGCATCACTACAGTAAGGAAACTGTGGATAAACTACTGCACTGTTTTTATGTGGATGATTGCCTCGTGTTGGTGGCCACGGAGAAGGAAGCAGTGATGCTTTACAGGAACCTCGTCTCTTTGTGTTCCAAGGGTGGATTTTTTCTCGCAAAGTGGTTGAGTAACAGGACTGGAGTGTTGGAAGTCATCCCAGAGAATTACAGAGCAAAAGGCATTGAAGGATTGGACATGAAACTGAATTCGCTACCTGTAGAGAGAGTGCTGGGTGTGGAATGGA